TTATCAAACATATTGATAACCTGGAGGAATATGGAGCTGAAAAAAAAAATTATAAACGCGATATTGAATTAATGGATGATACCGAAAGCACTATAAAGCTGACTATTTGGAATGAACAAGCAATGAAATTTTCGTATTCCGAAGGCTCTGTCATATTAGGAAAAAGACTGAAAATTTCTAATTATAATGGCAAAAATTTATTAGCACTCGACATTTCATACATTGAAATCGACCCAGAAATACCTGAAAAATCCATATTAAAGCAATGGTTTTTCAATAAGAGATCAAAAATTGCTCAAAACTGTTTGACATTGGAACCAACAATGGTCGATTTAATGACGCTTAAAACGATCAACGTAGCATCAAATGTCCATTGCGAAGCAACAATTGTGAGTGTTAAAAGCTGTACTTTTTATTTTTCATGTCCGGATGGTTGTAATAAGAAATTGATCGAGGATGATTCCGGACTATTAGAATGCAGTACCTGCGCTAAGGTAATGATGGATGGAAATCAAAAACTGGTTTTGAAAGTAAAAATTGTCGATTTCATTGGTACAATCGAAACAACAATTTATAGTGAAATAGCAGAAAAATTACTGGATTGTAAATGTGAGACATTATCAGAATTGGAAATGGAAGGAAAATCAAATTTCGAGGAAAAATTGCATCAAACTGTCCTATTGAATACTTATACATTTGATATAAAAATTAAGATGATTACTCGTGATGGTCGTTCGTGTCCAGAATATATTGTGAATAGAGTTTCGCGAAAAACAGAATCGCCATATCGAACGATTCATACGATAAAACAACTAGCAAAAGACATAGAGGATTCAAACTAATGCATCAACTTTATTGTCTTTAGTTAACACATCATAAATGAAAAGTACAAAATTGAATCTGGATATTTTCCATATTTTGAGCAAATAAATTGTTACTGAAATTTTGATCTGTGAAGCTTCCAATTGCCTTTGATATCCATAAATCCAATTTCACCAATAATTGATCAAGTTCAATATACTTATTCTCAACTGCTTTTTGAATTTGCGTAAGAGCAGGAAACAAATCTGATTCTGTGTTATTACTTTTATCTTTTGCTATTTCATTTCGCAAAAGAAATTGTAATTTGCTGTTGACAAAACTTGCGATTGGAATGGCAGTATGGATTAGCGATTTATTATGCATACAGATGAGACACAAATATTCATCGCAATCTATGTAATCTGCTACGTGATTCCGACAATTAACACAAATTGGTACACATTTAGATAAAGATTGCCTTGAACAGCGAACACAGGGGAACTCATGAATTTTAATGTAATGCACTTCGCACAAATTGTAATTTGTGCATGAACAGAACAAATAGGCACCACTAGCACAAGAAGCAAAAAATTGACATTTAGCAGCGATTGAAATTGTGATCAAATTTTCACTTGTCATTTGCGTATTGCAAACTGGACATTTATGCAAATGTGACACACATGAAACACAAATTATACGCAAACAGCAATGAATACTAAAAACTTGATTAATTTGCTGAAAACAGATTGAACAAAACATTTTCTTTTGAATTGATAACAGCTGGCAATTGCACTTTACAATTGACAAACTGTCTCCATGGCAACAACCTGAATTGCCGCACCTTTTGAAAGTCTAATAAAAACAAATCTAATGTGAATGACACCATTTCTTAGCGAACATAAAAAATATTAGTATATCAGAATATAAGTAATAAATAAAAGCATTTAAACAATATACTAATGCTTTTGTAAATATCAATTTTAATTGAAATTACAAATACAAATTAGATACAAATACGATGAAATGAAATATAAATTTGAAATTTAAATGAATAAGAATAATGAAAATAAATGAATAGAAATGTCAATGGTGATATTATATAACTATTAAATTCTCTTATTCAACTTTGCCTTCAAAATTGAACAACGTGAAACAGCATGGAATTGGCCACAATAAGAACAACGATGGGATTTATGGCATCCACAAGAGCGTTTCTTATTACTGAAACTCCAATTATAGCAATACTCTTTATCTGGCATAAAAACACCATCGTGTTTCGAACCAAAACCAAATGACACTAATAAATTTGACAAATCTTTGGCAATGCCGTCAATATATACTTGTAATTCACAAAAAGTGCCTTCATTGTCTTTTAATTTACCAATTGGCTTGATATCGACATTTGTTTCCAATAACTTTAGATTATTCTCAATGAGATCTTTCATTTCTTCTTGCTCACTTTGCAAGAAAATAGACTTTGAGATTGGACTGATGCCAACCAATTTTACTTGGGTCACTGTCTCCAAAATTTCATGGATACTATTTGGAATCTCATAGATTTCTGATTGCGCTACCCAAGCTTTATTGCCATAGTCTAAAAACTGAACGTAAATTGTTTCGATCCCAGTTTTCCTATCGCCTTTTACAATTGCTCTTTTATAAGTGCTCAGCCCACGATAAACATCTTTAACAATATATTGAGCACCGCGATTGATATCTCCTGCTGGCGTGAAACTTTGCTGTTTACTGAGAATTTCCAGAATTTTTTTGCGCGATTCCTTCCGATCTGGATCAACAACATAGATCCAAAATGGATCTCGAAAAAATGCCAATTGCGTTTTAAACCAAACTTGTTCATCGCATGGTAACATTACCAATGAATTATTGGTATAAACACCACTTCGTGGTGAACTAGCCAAACTGCTTTCAGCCGAGGACATTACAACACTAGCTGGTGGCGAATTTCGTGGTTGGAATGACATCAAGTCCACGATTCCATGGTTAAATTCAGCATTATAAATAGACCCCAAATTTTGACAATTCGCCATCTCAACGCAAATTTCAATCTTATAAAAGCCATTTGAATCTGCAGTTTCCTTATATTTTACCAACGGGGCAATATTAAAATTACCATTGATCTTTTTCCAATCTGCTAACTTTGTAATGGTATCATCGATAATGAATTGGTTATTAGTAATACCAAATTTTATAATTTTCAGTCCAACTGAATCTTTTGGAATAACAACAGAGTTAGGCAATGCAAAACAATTAGAATCAGCATAATTGTTGAATTTTGAAATGAATTCTTTCTTAAAGTTTTGTAATTTTGTAAAAATCATTTCGAATTGATTCACATTATATCGCAAGATATTATTTCTTTGGATAGCTGATTCCGAACTGCAATCATCCAAAAGATTATCAATTTTTTCAATGGCATTCTGTTTAACTTCTTTATAATTGCCAACTTGTTCATCGCCAACGGTCATCCAACAGCTAGTACACAAATTTGATGGACCAATGTAGCTTACCATAAACCTTTTACAGATATCGCATTTTGGTTGAACAACATTTGAAATAATGTCTTTACAACAAACACCACTATCTTGATGGGTTTTATAATAGTCACGATCGCAGAGATTGCGATTAGAGCAGCTACAACGAAAAACGGCAAGAGATTGACAATGCGCGAAAAAATTGCATTTTTTAGTAATGACATCAAGGGAATTATCAAAAGGCCGGTTGCATTTGCGGCAAGCAGGACCAGTTGCACATTTTTGACATATAACCGCGAAACAACAATGAACTTTACAATTTTCATAGGCATCGCAGCTACACAATTCACATTTTAATGAGGAAAACATTTTAGAATTATGATGAACTATTTAAACAATTGAATTATTCCATTAGTGTTTAAGAGAAAAGATTAATGAAAATAAAAGAAAGCTTTCGAAATAGCTATCAAATTTCCATTACCATAGAAACACCATCAATTAACAATTCAGAAAAATAAAGCGCGTAATTCAATTTCCCACCCAATAGCTTGAATATTAATTGATTTTTCTAATCTTGATTAATCTAATCTCAATATCACTTGTTATCACTTGTATTAACAATTAAAATGACATTAATTGGATTGAAAATACAAATTGTGGATAACAATTGATTTAATCAAAAAATTGAATCCAAAATTTAACAAAGCAATTTTTATCTGCGATTTATATTTTTTCAATATAGCATAAAGGCAAACTATTTATCTTTCAGTCACCTTATCTGCCAAAAGTGAATTATAAATTATATTTAGGCACTGACGGCCTAATATAAAGAGAAAAAACAATTTTCTTTGTCAAGCCCACTTGAGCCCTGATTTTTACCCATTGATTTGTATCATGCTTTTTGTGCTTCTTGAAAGAGCCAAGCTAAATCAGATTTAAGCTTGTTCAAGAGATGTTCAACAATGATGATAATAATGATGATAATGATTGTTACTGGCTTACTGAAATGTTTTTTTCCTCTTTAGTTGATTTTTATATAAAAAAACCACTAAAAGTCTTGAACATTTTTCCTCCTCTTTTCAGCATCTTCCTCATCATTATTTCAATAGGGGCTCTTATATCAATATTATTGATGTCGAGTGAGAAAAGGATGAGAAAAAAATGTCCAACGAAATTATCGACAGAATTATTTCTTCGCAAGAAATCTCAAGTGAAATGTATTTGGTCACTTTTTGTGGTTCAATTGAATGGTCATTAGTTAAAGTCGCATTTTCAGTGTTTCATTGTGATAGACTTGTGTTTAGTCCTTTGTGCATATCTTTTTACCTGTTTGAATGTAAAATGAAAGTCCAATTTCAATGTAACTTTTTTGCTTATTCATTGAGATCTGAAATTGTAATCACAGAGAAAGAAAAGAATCAACAAATCAATCAATTTGATTGTTTCCTTCAATCTCTAGTTATAGATGAAAATGATTATAATGAATGGGGATGAAACCAGAAAACGTTGAAAACGCCTTTTCAATTTCAAACCTACCAATTGAAAGATTGACGTTCAACATTAACATTGAAATTTCGTATTACGATTAACTAAAATTAACATTAATTTTGATGGGTTAATTTGCTTGCAATCATTTCCATGAAAATTTAATGCAAAACCTTTTCCTTTATCCAATTGATTCTCATTCAGATACTTTTGTCTTTTCAGGTTTAGGTGATGGTTGGGGAACAAGACCTTCACCTGATGGTTCATTAAAGTTTGCAATCAAGGAATTGGGTCAACATTTATTAAAGGTGAGCTTCCAATATTGTCATTTTCATTGAACTTTCAGTTTTTCCAATTTCTATTCATTTCCATATTGAATTGACTTTCAATTACCTTTGATTTTCAACTAAATTTTTGTAAACCAAATCTATTCAAATGATTCCAAAGTGTTTCATGTTTTGTGTCCAACATTTGAATTTTGTTTTGTTGAACAAAAATAAGCTCAAACTGGAAACTCAATCAATCAAACAACAGCAAATGTCAAACCTAAAACTTAAAACACTGAACGTGATTAAGCATATCTTCATTTTTCATCTCTCATCATCATCATCATCATCATCATCATCCTTTTTCCCACCTTCAATTGTGCTTTATGTTTACCAATTTTTACCCATTTTTTTGCTTCCAACTCTTACTTTTGATTTGTCTTCACAGTTTTTTTTCATCGTTTTTCCTCTCTTTCTGTTTACATCTTGATTAATATTACAATTAGCAGCACAATTATCACACTAATTTAACAATAATTATGAATGTAATCCCAAGTAATTATTAATATTCACACTTGAGAATTGAATGAGCCGAGATTTCCATGTTCATGATTCATTTAAAGAGAGTGAAAAAAAAGATGAAAAAAAGTGAAGATTCACTTCAGTTTAAATCTAATTTGTTGCATCCAATTAATTGTATTATAATTGTAATATCTCTGTACTTGTAATTAGTTCAATATTCAAGTTGAAATTAAGTTTAGTTGAAACTCTCATTAAAAATGATTAAAGATTTTTCAATTTACTAATTATTCAACAATTGGACAATTGAAAATCTTAAACATTTACTATGTAAATCAACCTAATTTTTATCATTGCTTTGGTTTCTTTCAACAGACTTTAGATGCTTTTGTATTTGTTGCTGCTTCTGATGGCAAAGTTATGTACATTTCAGAGACTGCATCAACTCATTTGGGATTATCTCAGGTAAATATCATTTTTAAATTCAAATTGTTTCATTGAAGTTTCAATGAGAAACTTTTCATGTTTAATTGAGGTAATAATGATAATGATGATATTGTACTTGAAAATGGTTAAACCTTTTTTATATTCATCATCATGTTGCACTCCAATTACTGATCATAATTTGTTTTTGTCTTGATGATCAACTTTAATTGGATTGTCTTAATAAGAAGGTTACCATTTAATAATAATGATGTTAACAATTGAATTAGTGATGGTAAGTCTATCAATAATTATCATCATTTAGTAATTGCAAATCAAAAAGGTTGATTCTAGTTGAGAAAAGGCTTGCATTGAAATGAGAAATGGCTATGAATAATTGAAAACTGATGAGGAGAAGCAATAATATCAAAGGTTTATCCAATGTGTGAAAAAATTGAATAAATTGACTTGAACTTGAAGTTGAATATTGTCGCTAAAAAGACGTTTATAGCTTGGAAATGGCGAGCTGGCAAAAGTCAGAAAAGGTTGAAGGTTCACTGTCAATTGGCTGGGTTGGGCCGATGAGTAACAACTGTTTAAGATGACTTGAATCACAATGAATAATCCCAAGTAAATTTGTTGAATCCTGAATAATCAAGGCTTTACATTGAGGATAATAAAGCATTTAAGCGTCAAGGTTGGCAAAGTGTTCAGGTTAAGGTCAAGTGAAAATGAACAGAAACAAGTGATAATGATAAATAATAGGAGTTAATAAAATGATAATTGTTATTAGTAAACATTACCACTGTAAGTCGGTAAGGTTAATGAGTGTTTTCACAGTAAAACAACAAAAAAAGGTTAAATTATTGAAGAGAAACTGATGAGAATGAATTTACTTTGAAAAAAAGCTTGACAAGGTTTATTAAGAAAAGGCAAAATCGTTGGTTGGTCCATTCAGGTAACTAAGGGTAACTGTTGAGATTAAGAGTAAAGCGGTTAGCTTGAAGGTATAAAAACAAGCCAACATGGATCAGTTGAATTTCAATCAACTGAAACAAGTTACAATAAAATTATTAAGATGAAGATGATTTCTCAAATTTAGTGTATAATTGGATTGTTAATCGAAAAATTTACCTCTAATTGTTTAGGTTGACCAGAAAGGACAATTTTCGAGGTTTAGCTTTAACCTGATTTTCAAACTGATTGATTGGTTTATCTGGTGTGATATTTAATTTTACTGTTTTTTCTGCAAATCATTCGCGCTCGTTCAATATGGCTGCATATTAAACTTGCTTTATTTTTACATTTTTGTTGTTTTTTGCTGTTGTTTGGTTTTACTTTTCATTAAGACAATCAATTTTCGTTGTTTTATTATTATTATTTGTTATTGTGCTTGTTATAGTCTATCAACTAATCAATCATCATTCATCTTTTAAAGTGTTTAACTTTGATATATCAAAGTGTCTGAAGATGCTTATTATTGCCTACTACAACTTGTTGATGACCCTTAACCCATCATCTCACTATCCAGGGTTACTGTTTTTGTTTTGTGTATTGCTATACCTTCTGACCTTTTCTGTTTACCATTTTGATACAGAAGATGGTGAAGGTTAACTTGAATCTGGTTAATTATAATTGATAAAATATCCGGTTTTCCCTTTCGTTCACATTTGACCTCAAATTGACCGTAAAAATAATAATTATAAATGCTAAAGGTTAAAGTGAGAGGGACCATTTTTTTCCAAGATTTACTGGTACTAAGGCGATAAATGAGATAAACTTCCAAGAACAATGAATTGTTCCCTTTCTGACTTTAAGGTTTTCTTTTTTTACATTTTGTGTGTCAAAAAGCTTTCACTCTTCTGACAATATTGAAACCAACTCATGACGAAGCATTTACTTGGAAAATGATTTGTTAATTGTTTCTTTCTCTTTCTTTCCTTTCTCAGGTTGAATTGACTGGTAACGGAATTTACGAGTATATCCATTCCGATGATCATGATGAAATGGCTCAAGTATTGAGTTTAACATCCGAGGAAACGGCAAAACTTCGATCTCTTGTTATGTCATCTCGACATTCATCTCAATCAGCAGCCTCCTCAACATCAACCTTTCCCCTTTCATCCAACCAATCAAACTCACCAACATGTTTACATCATTTAGCATCATCATCAACATCAACACCAACCATATCAACAGCAACATCAACAACGCCAACACCATCAACAAATTTGACTGGATCAAATTTGGATCATTCTTCATCAATACCAACTACAGTAGCAACTGTAACTGCAATACCAGGCCTTACAGTGACACCAACAGCAACAACTCTGCCAACAACCCCATCAATCCATTTATCATCCTCACCTTGCTCATCATCCTCATCTTCACTATCATCTCTCTCTTCATCTTTATCCTCTTCCTCTTCTTCCTCATCCTCCTCATCTTCTACCTCTTCCTCCTCTTCACTACAATTGTCCTCTCAAACATCGGCCACAACAGCCGATGGACAACCTTGTTGCTATTCAAATTCCAATTTTGAATTCCAACGATCTTTTTTTCTTCGCATGAAATGCATCCTAGCTAAACGGAATGCCGGTTTAACATCCAACGGTTACAAGGTAAAACTGTCTACAAGAAATTGTTGTCCAAGCAAATAAATAATATTTACCTTTTTTAATAAACCTTCCTTACTTGCAGGTGATACATTGCAGTGGCTACTTAAAAGTGCGAGTTTTCAATGTTGACGGTCTAAATGAAACCCCTTTCCAAAATATGGGTCTTTGTGCTGTTGGTCATTCACTTTCACCTTCCGGAATAACGGACATTAAAATGTACAATAACATGTTCATGTTTCGAGCAAGTCTTGACTTTAGACTCATATTTCTCGATCAAAGGTAAAAACAAATTTCAAGCGATTAACAATCAATATTTAGTGCCATTACACTTTTCACCACAAATCAAACCTAGCAAGAAAGGAAAATGATTTACAAAAATTCCCTCATCACCATTAAATTAAAAGTGTTACAAAATTATCGGCTTTTTTACAATTGTAAAATTAACCGTAAAGGTGAAGTTTAAATTTAATTATGAAATGAAAGTGCAATTTTCACAAGAAAAGTAATTCAATCCATTTCGATATTAAATCACAATCTTATGATAAATCAATTAGATGTATCCAAATACACACACATCTACACTTGTTAGTTATTGTGATTATTTGCTCTGTTACAATAAATGATTACAATTTAACTTTCAAGTCAATGATTTAGTCAAGGATTGTAGGAAACAAAAATAATAACAGTAATGATAATGATAATAATAGTTATGATAAAACCTAAAAAATTGAGAGTAAGAAAGTAACTCAAAAAGGTTGAAGAGGATTTTGAGGCTAAATAATATGAAGCTAGCAAAAATGATGAAGAGAGAGAGAGAGAGGAAAATAGAATCGATTTGTGAATAAAGAATGATGATAATGATGATTGAAAGAAAGGAAAGAAAGAAGAGAAAGTGATGATGATGATGATAAAGATGAGGTTGAAGATGAAGATGATGAGTTACATTGAGAACCTATAGAGAAAGGTAACAATTCATTGCATCCTATAACAAGATTTTCAATAATCTTGCTCTTCCTTCCAAATATTCATCTTCTTTCATGATTATCTCCTTTTGTTATAGGTTTTACCAGGTTGGTGATAAGTTAGCCTAAGGTCATTCAGAATCAGATGAATGATCATTTAGCAACTTATTAATATAACCGAGTATTTAAAGCTCTTGGCAATGAGAAAGATGAGTTAATCAATGAATCAATCATGACGACGACTCATCATATTGTTTGTGTTATTGAAATATCAGGAAAAAATAGTAAACATTTAAGATTTCATTTTTACCTGGAAACTGCCTTTTCCACTTTCTTTGGCTTTCATTACCTTAATGGTGTTTCCCATTCATTGAGATCTTTATTAATTGACTAAATCCGATTACCAATTGTTGAAATTGATTTGAAAAATGAACAAAATTCTTGACAATTGAGATACAATTGAAAAGATTATTATTCAATTTTTTCAGGTCCAACCCTAAGATTGAAAGTGATTAATCAATTAACTTTTTGTTTCCCATTGAAATCAATTCTTTGAAATGATCAACGAAAATGTTTCTAATCATTTCAAATTACCTTTTAAATGTAAAATAGCACATTAACATTTGGTTAATTGTATGTTGATAGAGAGATAATAATTTGCTGTTGATCATTGTTACTTGCTATTTAACACTTACTGTTTGATTGATTAAACTGGCCTTTTTATTGTGCTTTTGTATACTTAAGTCTGGGAAAGTGATTCAGTGATTCAATTTGTTTCATGATTTAATCGTTTAGTAAGCAATCTAATTGTTAACAATTTAAAGGTTCAAGTGCACAAGAGTTACATCTGTAGCTGTTCACACTTGGAGGTCAAAATGTATGTTATTAATACACAATATTTGAAAAGGTTAATTGAAAGCAAATCTCACGAGGATGTTGAGTATCATTAGTTGCAATCAATTTGGATTAACAATTTCAATTTTCAATGTTGACTACAAAGAAAAGTACAATTAAGAAATCATTTTTTTGCCTACAAAAAGTGGGAAAATTAAATTCTAGCTCAGTTAATTTAGTGATTAACATGAAAACCTTTGAAAAAGTGTTGAATTGTAATTTTAAATGAAACATTTTCACTTGTAAATTGAGCAAATACTTTGTTTCACTCTCTGTTTGTTTTGGCTTTTCATGTTTACCTATTTTTTTGTCAACCCTTGAAATTGAAATGTATATTAAATGTATATTAATGATTATGATTATGAAAAATATAATTTTATCCTTTTTCTTTATCATTACAGAGTCAAAGAGCTGATGGGCTATGAAGTTCAAGAATTGATAGAGAAGACAATTTACCAATATATTCACTATAATGATCAACAATCAATGAGCTTTGCTCATAAAAAATGTAAGTATCATCTTATCATAATGACAATTTAGACAAATGCTGTATATTTAGTTAAAGTGAATACTTTGATTTGCATATTTAAACGTAATCTGTACTCTTTACTTTAGTCAAGACCTTTTTTGGGCCTTTTGGAGCCTATTCATCCTCCAAGTGTTAACGTTTTCTTGATCCTTTTCAATTGTTATTATTGTCATTATGATTGTTTAAGATTTGTAAACAAATGATGACAATCAATGAATGAAATTTAACAAAAAATGAGCAATTCCTTTGCAAAGATCATCATCATCAACTATCTTTGTTTGATTATCAACTGTTAGTGAACAAAGTTAACAGTTTATAATATTGATTTGCATATGCATCACATCAACACCATTTTGTCAGCAACAATAATCATTAAATCAAATGGTTCATCGTTTATCTTCATTAAAATCAATTGAATCTCTTCACCTCATGGTTTGCTCATCTTAACTGATCTTTCAATAGCTACAGAGTGAAATCGATTGCTAAGAAATGGAGGAAACTCCAAAAATTAGAAAGCCTAAAATCCTATTTAATTGTTGAACTGATTGTTTTTAACCTTGATTTGAAGATTACAATTATTTGTCCAAGATGATGAAAATAATATTAATTTATCCGTTTAAAATGATTAAGCTTTGAACAATATTTACTCAGTTTAAATGGGAAAATGTTGAATAAAGTATTAAGATATTTAATCTAAGTATAGATGTAGTTTAAAATTTGTCATTTGCTGTTAAATCTAGTCTGTTCCGTTGTTAACCTTAATCCGTAAGATTTACTTGAATTATGGACAGTTTTGCTCTTGATTTTGGTGATGGGTTGAAAATTATATTCAATCGTAACTAACATTTTATCGAAGAAAGGTAAACAGATGATAAACTTACAGTTATAATTTATTGCTCCTCTTTTGTCATAGATGCTGTCCTTGGAAGAAGAGTCACTAAATTATGATTGTGATGATAAAACTCATTCATTTATATCTTTTCTTGTCCTCAGTAATTACAGTTAACCATGATTTAGCTTTATTTGTATTTCATTTTTTTTCTTTCCATTTCTATTCTCATCAGAATCTTGTCGACATTGTAAAGGTGGAAAGCAATGATTGAGGAAAAGCGTGACAATTGATCAGGATTTAAATTGTCGACAGCGAAAACCAATTGATCTGTTTTCATCATGCTTGTTTATCATTCAGTAACAATATTCAAAGATCTAGAAGTTTTCCAATCGTTTGTTTCTCAGACAAATGATATAAATTTAGAGGAAAGAGAAGCATCTGAAAATGATGTTAAAGCCAATAGTAAAGTGCAGGAAAGCGAATAAATTGACTTACTAATTAAAACGTGTTTAGTAAACAATTAGTGGTTGAATTACAGTGATTATTGAATGTCCTCTAAAATTGCTGCCCAAGGTTGATATCTGTGAATAGTGATAGATTGAAATTATTAGATACATTGATCAGAATTGCTAATTTCATTGCTGATTCTTGCTTCACTTTTTGACCGTCAACTTAATGTTGAGGCTCATCAATTTTTTTTTCTGATAACCATTTTAATATCATTTTAATTTAGTCAATATAAATTATCTTGTTCATTAATTAATTTACTTTCAATACAAATTTTGATGATATGCTGAAAATCTAGTTTTATGATCAATATTTGTGAATAACATTAATTTTTCTTGCTTTTTTCCCTCTCCAACAGTAATTGATAAAGGTCAAGTAACAACCAAATATTATCGCTTTTTGACCAAAAATGGAGGTTGGGTTTGGATGCAAAGCTATGCAACGATTGTTCATAATACACGATCATCACGGCCTCAGTGTATTGTCAGTATTAATTATGTTCTGGGTAAAGTTGAGAAAAGTGATCTTGTCCTTTCAATTGAACAAATTGATTCAAACCATGGAAGCAATAGCAACATTTTACGAGAAACATCAACTAGCAACGGTTCAATCTTGTCATCATCCAATTCGTCCTCCTCTTCATCAGCCTCCTCAATACCAATCTCACGGCCTACTGGTGGCAATCCTAGTACCAATTCCTCTTCATATTTCCAATTAAACGTCAAGAAACCTTGTGCAACCCCATCACCAGGGACAATTGATGGGGTTGCACACAATGCTAGTCCAATGAGCAATTCATCGTCCAACCTTAATCGATCAACCTTGCCTTCACCAACCAATTCAACCACCTTCAATGGTGTTTTTGGTTTATCATCAGATGTATCACCAAACGTTGCAATACAAACTTCATTAGTTCACAACAATGCACTTCTACATAATAATATACCTCCGACTCCTTTAAGACAAATTACACCCGGATTGGAACGGTTCAGACCTGAAATGGGAAATCGAGATGCATTTTCTGGTCCAGGAGTGACCAAAGGATCAAATAGAGTTGCTCGTAAAAGACCGTATGCTGTTAGCAATGGATCGGGAAACTCAAATTCATCAGAAACTGGATTAAATGGTTCTCTTGTGGCTAAAACAAATTCACTTCAAACAGCTTCAGGATTAAATTGTGATCCAGAAGAATCAGAGAACAGTTATTATGTATCTGAATCTCATGGTGGTGTGTCGCAGTATAGTGAAGAAGAGACGATTCCATGGGTTGGTTCGGTTATCAGGCCTAATTATCAAGGTTTTGGTTATGATTCTAATTTTGTACGAAGTGATCTAATGGAGACAACTGAGTATCTAAGCACCTTTGAAGGAGATGAGGATGAAGACGATGAAGAAGAGACTAAATACAATTACAAGGTTAATCATATCAATGATAACTCTAACAACATTTCTACTCAATTTCACGATCATCAAACTCACAATAATTTAAGCAATGGACATAATCATCACAACCATCATAACCATAATTTTAATCATCACCATCATCATAGCTCTCTTTCAAATCATCCTTTAGGACAATCCGCAGTACATCCTGTAACTATACAGCAAGTGGGGACAACAAGCCCAGTCTCATACGATCCAATCGAACATCATTATATTCCAACAACGGGTATTCCCATTGATTCGTTTAACGGAGCAAATGTTTATCCAATGTCACCCAAAAAAAGGGTAAACTTTGTGCCCAGTGAGGAGCAACTTTTAAATGAACAATATCAAACCTCTCCAAATGCATTTGAAAGTTTGGTTCACAATCACAGTCATAACCATCATCAGCTTCCACTTCATCATGGTCAGATTCATCAGCAATGGTAGCGATCATCAAGTTTGATCTTTTTTTTGTAAAACTTTTCTTCCAAGTAAACATCTTCTGTAAAGGTTTTTATCAGGAAGGGCGGGAGAGAGGAAAGGCGATAATTTAACATTATAAAACATATATTCACCCAAATGAGTAAATAAATTGAAAACTCAAAATTATTTGTCAAAGCGATGCATAAAGAAATGAATTAAACTTTTCTTTCTTAAAATTTCAATTTTATTCTACTGATTACTATTTATGGGTCCATTTTTTTCTAATAATATTTACCATCAAATTGATACTTTGACCAAGCTTTCAGTTGAATGTAATAGCACAATAGTAGATTAATTTAATAATAAGCTGTATGCACTTTTCAGAGATTTTCAGAGAAAGACATATTAATTAACTCTTCAATGGAATCAAGGCATGAAGGTTGCATTGACACAATTATATTGTCAACTTGATCAGCTTAATGAACGCACAGTGTTACATTGAACTTTCAACAATGATGATAATGTGATCATTTGTTACATTTTACCTCTTCTATTACGGTATTCATCAATAGACACGCGATTACTGTTCTCGTTAATAAAGCTAAGTTCGTGTTAACTCGTCGTGTTTTCCTTACGTGTGGCCTCACAGCAGGAAATTTGTATTTGAATAAACAACATTGTCCATTATGATTCTCATGCTTTTTTCCCCTCCTTCCAAATGTACACTCTACTTGCCAGTGGAATCTTTGAATAGCTTTGGGTGAATATTATCTCAGGGTGAAGAAGCAGAGTATAAAGATGATTATTTCATCCTATATGCTTGGGTGATATACTTGATACTGAAATATCAGGCAATTCCATTTCAAGTTTAGAGATGCAAACAGGTTATAAGGCTTGCGCTGAGTATCGTTGCCTGGTAAGGGCATAAGGTGGTGGTAATGGTGAAGATAAGAGTAAAATATGTTTGAAAAAACACCAGTTTAACATGTAAGCCTTTACACCTTGCTTGTTGATTTCTGCATCATCATGATTCTCCTGATCCAATCCAAAAGTAACCAAAATTTCTCAGAATTTGTGTTTTGTTGACTCTTCTGTTTGTATCTTTCCGGATTAACTTGACCATTAAGTAAAGCTTGTGGTTGTCGAACAAAGAATATGATAGTCTTTTCAATCTCCCTCGATTAAATTTTTCAGGGCTTATATTGTTTACCTATCAAACTGAAGATGTTGAGAGGAAGAAGAGAGAAGAGAGAAAAAAGAAGGAATATTAAGAAAAAGAATAAAGGTAAGAGGAAAGGAAAATTCATCTTATGAGGCTTACCGTGTAGAGAAAGAAAACATCATCAATCAATGTAAGTTTAAAACTGACTGACCAGAAGTTAACTGATTTTTGTTTACATGAGCGGTTTTCACAGCTTTTCACCAGGCCCGGGTGAGTCTTCTTACTTTGGTAAACATTATTGTTGTATTAACCTATTACAGGTTGCATTACCAAGCCCAGTAGTTTATCTTTCAACATCTCCTTTTAAGCAGCCACCATTGAAATCCATTTTTATTTTATCTTCACTATCATCTTGTTATCCTCCTTTTCTGAGAGAGGTAAAGATGATGCTCTCTATGAAGTTATCTTTTTTTAAATGAGATCAACTTTGCTAATCCTCAGGAATTATGAAAATTTTCACCAAACAATGGAATACACTGGGACAATAAAAAGAGAGTTAACAGTTTAGGGATGCAATACAATGATGAGTTAAATTTAGTTTACATAAATCTTACTTACTTAATGGATGAAGATAACTTGCCCAATAAATTATGATCAAGATGATGATAGGGAAATTAACACTAATTTTAAATTGAATTAATAATGAGATAAATCAAACAATATAAAAGAGCAAGAAGAAAAAACAAACTGCTTCAGCTGATGGTTACCAAAAGCTAATAAGGACATTGCTTGGATTTAGAGTTACAGTTATTAGAAAGAATTATTCAAGAAAAATTAAATTGAACATAGATTCTAATCGAAATCAAGAATAGACTCTTTCAGGATAATTATTTCCATCTCATATTTTTCGGTACATCATTTTACCTTAGATTCTGGGTCTTCAATCAGAAATGAAGTTTAATCAAGTTCAGGAGAGGATGACTTCCAAGATCCAAAGATGTGTATTATGATAACATGTTATATCACTTGGTCAGGTAGATTTAATGATTGAGAGACAATAATTTCCAATTGTGGACCATCCATGGGTTACTTGATTACATGTAATAACATTTAATTTACTATTTTATTTTATTTACTTTAGTAGACCTTTTTGATTTTCCTAATTTTTTAGCTCATCGGTTAAACATTTTAAAATATTCTTATTGTTATTGTTGTACAGCTTCAGTTACCTTATCACAGAAGAAATGGAAAAACTTGACTATTGGATGCAATTCCTGGAAACACAGATTATTCATATTTTACCTGATTCACAATAAAATGAAGATACTTCGATCTTAATTAAATTAAATTAAATAAAAACAAAAAAATTACCGAGAAAAAAAACACTTAAAACAATAGACTGTTGACCCATCTAGCGGTAAATGAATTGGTTACTGAGCCTTGTTCAAATTGGTTAATGGGAAACTGTTTGCAAGATATTCAATTAATCCTTTTTATTGATAATTAATTTAAACTATGAAACCGAGTAATTGTACTTATTTCCAAATAATGGCTGTCCATCATTTGATATTCATTTCTTTTTATTATACACAAAGCAGCCTATTGTTGAAGTCCATTGATCATGAAGTCAAGTGATGAAACCAAACTTACAAGTATAAGTCTAATCTGACTTGTATAGCCACGATTATCTTTACGATTATTATTTTACTTTGGATTTTCATGTTTCTTCGGTTTGATATGTTAATATATCACGCCATCTTGATCAAGCCGTGTGTCTTGTTAAAGTCGCGTGGCAAGACACCAAAGAAAGTTCTCGTTTTTTTACTCCTTCCCATTGTTGAGCTATTTTTTTGTGACTGTGTGTTTATTCCTGTGACTTTCAATCAGAATCAATATGGACTCAGCTCACTGATGATAACAGTAAAAGGTTGCCAAAACCCTGCGGGTGATTTTTGTGTATCCAATTATAAATATAACTCTGCCTTTACACTCATCAAACAAATCAACCTCTTCGATGGGCTACAATTGTCAAATAATGTATACCAAAAGCTTCTTTTCTTTCTTCTCCTTGACCCGGTCTTTGGTACCGTGTGACCTGTTATTTTTACTTCCATTATTTACACTCAAGTTGAAATCTCAAACAAATCTTCCATGAACCATTCAATACCTGATAATCTTTATTCCTTAACTTGAGTTAAGTATGCCTTGAAAGGCTGTAGGGACAATTTTTCCTTCTATGCCAATATAATAGCAATTAGTTCATGTTTTGAACTGTAATTTGTCCTCTATTTTGTATTGTTTTCTATGATAATCAATATTACAGATTTAAGTTTGATTTTATCTGCAAAATTGCATAAATTGAAGGATTTAAATGATATTTTGATCATTTATAAATTCACCAGAAAATGTAAAATTTGAATAGATTGTTGAAGAAATCAAATTTCTATAAGGTCTGTTGACAACTTATTACTTACCACTGTTGAATAAAGAGATAAATTAGAGCTTAATAAATGAATCACAGTTTTTCAGTAATTGAATTGAATTTAAATCTCAACTCTGATGATGATTTATTTGTCTTTCAATGTGATTGGGTAAAAAAAGTAAAGTTGGCTTTCTGAGGTGAACCATGTGATTGCATTGAGTTGAGTTGCTGAGTCGGATTTGTTGTCTTTTTCATATTATTTATTCTGTTTGCTGTGCTTTTTATACCTCTCTTTGTTTCTTATTTATTTTATTAACAATTACTAAAACGGTGAAATTTGATTTTAGACAGTTTATTAAAGGCTTTGTGTTATTAGAAGATGTTTAAAAAGTAAGTATCATGTTGACATTAAATCCTAATGCTTCTCTTATAATTTTTCAATACACTCTCCTTGCCTCTTTCTATGTGACTACAGATTTGATGATACCTGTGTTTCTGGGACAACTCAATTGAAATCATCAGTTCAAAAAGGAATCCGTAACAAGCTTATTGAACAATTTCCTAATCTAGAAGAAAGTATCGATGAAATTATACCTAAAAAGGATACCATTAAAGTTGTTAAATGTCAAAACCATGTTGAACTGTTAATTAATGCAGCTGGTGAACATCTATTTTTCCGTCAAAGGGATGATCCATATATTCCTACTTTGAAATTGCTTCATAAATGTTCGTATTTCACCTTCTCTAGTAATCTGACCATTAAGTTGACCCATACTATCACAAAAATACAAGCCATGTAAACATGACACAATTGCTGTAAGGTTTGGTGTAGTTGAAGCTTATAACCATGACTATTTTGCCGGCACTTGATATTAGCTGAAGTTCATTCAATGGCTGATTTGTTCAATTGGCTAATTATGATTTTATGGAGTAATCTCCATGCATAGAACTGGGACAGTTCACTCAGATAACCATAGTTTTGTTTTATAATGGGATTTATTCATGAGATGTAAGAGGTAATTGATATAAAATTATAACAATTTTTTTTATTCTACAGATCCTTTAATATGTCCAATAATGCAAGTCGATTCTGGTGCTATTCAATTCGTACTCCAAGGAGCCAATATTATGTGTCCCGGTTTAACTTCAAGAGGAGCGATTATGACTCCAAATTTACCAGCCGGAAGTGTAGTTGCAGTTTTTGCTGATGGGAAACAGCATGCTTTAGCTGCAGGAATCCTCAAAATGTCATCTACTGATATGTAAGTTTCATTCAACGTGTTCTGGAAATGTTTTATGTACAGAATTATTTATCTGCTTTTAAATTTAATTTTTACAGAGCCAAAGTGAACAAAGGCATTGCTATAGAAAGTGTGCATTATCTGAATGATGGCTTATGGCGATTGAAACCAATCAGATGATCAATATCTTAGTCAACAACTCAATTTTTCAAGCTTTAAGAAAATATGGCTATTTTAATGGCAAATGTGGTAAATGAAGGATTTTTTCAGATGGAGTTTCTATTTCTTAAAACATAACTTCACTATCAATCATTAAAATATCAAAATTAAAAAAATGAATCTTATTAACTGATGGATTAAATGACCGAACTGAGGATGGAGTTCAATCTTCTTTGTTAGTTGATTTAAAATAATGAATTTAGTTTCAAGTTGAATTTACAAAAATAATCAAATTTATTTAGTCAGTTTGCAATTGTTCAGTCGGGACTGTTGCAGGTTGTTGTTCCATAGGTTCGTCTACTTTTACTTCCTTTTCTTGTGATACTTCAGATGGTTGTGACAGTTCAATTGATGAGGACTCTGGTTGCTGTTGAACTGGTTCGACTGTTTGTTTGGATTCCGTTTGTGGTTTAAGGATTTCTTGTTGAGTAACAGGCTGAAGATCAGCGATATTTTCCATTACTTGTACTTGTTGCATGGGTTCATCCTGAGGATGTCCTGGTTGCTCTGGTTGCTGCTGTTGCTGCTTAGATTGTAGTTGTTGTGATTGTGGTTGTGATTCCTGTTGAGGTTGTTGTTGTTGTTGAAGCTGTGACTGTGATTGTTGAGAATCAGACGTTGTTGTTAGTGGAGTTGCTGGTTGTTGTAATTGAGCTTGCTGCTTCTTTTCTAGTTCTTGTTTTGCTTCAGCACTGGAAATATTTTCCTTTAGTTTAGCTATAGTTGTCTGTGTTTGTTTTAGTCTATCCTTCAATTCTTCAATTTCACTTTTAACTTTAATTTTGGCTGATTGGATTGATGCAATGGTTTTTGTTTTTTTGTCTTCAAAATCAGTCTCATGTTTATAAGGTCCTATGGTTAACTGCCTAGTATTTGTCAACAACTGCTGCATCATAGCTGATGGATCTTGGAATATAATCTCGTCATAAAATTCAGAGATGATGTACTTTTTAATGTTGATTTGTTTACTTATAGGGTCCGTTTCAAATAGTTTAAGAATGTGATAAATGGTGATAGGTCTTTCATTTGGATCCATAAAGTATAACTTTATCGAGACTTCAAATTCCCCCCAACCAGTCTCAGTTACTTCAAAGGGTGGTTTAGTTACGATCCTGTTTGGATTAGTATAGCTCTCATGTAATTTGAAATGGACTTTCTTAACATAAGTTGACATGTCTTCATTCTGAAATGGTTTAACATAAACATTCCAGCTGTGTGTATGGCCATCTTCTTCTCGTTTTTTACCAAAATGCCGAGCAACATTACCATAAACAATCGGCTTGACAATAGTTACACCTTTGATCCGTCCACCACAATCAGGTCCGTAATCACTCATTATGTTAGTAAAATATTGTTGTCCAAACAAGAACGGAATAAAATAACATTAAACAAATAAAAACAAACGAGTGTTTGTCGAAGAGAAGACTTTCTTTCTTTATTTACCAATAAAAATGTTTTTTTTTCATGTCCGATCTATCGCTATAAAATTCGATATATCGATAGCTTCAATGCTTTCTGAATGAGGCTCACGACATGGGATTTTCATGGCAACTTTGTCGATAACTTGAAATTGGTATCAGAAGGAGTTTATTCAAGAGTAATCAAATGTTTCTTGACTCCTCAAGGCATTTACACTTGAAACCAGTAAGTAAGTAGACTCTTTGATAACGCTAATAGTTGAGCAAAGTATGCCAATTGATAGCAAAACAGAATCTGAAATAAAGTCTAACATATTTTTGCTGATTTTATCAATTGTAATTAATTTTATCACTTTCGGTTTGCTAAATTAGTCAGTTATAAGTGCAATTATAATTTGAATTGTTTATTCACCACACCCACCAAATGATTCACTAGTGTTTCAACAATATCAGTGAACCTGTTTTATATCTGCTTGAAGTCAAAACAATTTTTCTTATTATAACTTTAAATTAAGAAAGCGATCGAAATAAACCGAAAAAAATGAGGGGAAGAAACACTTGAACCATGAAAAATTTCCAGAATTAGATTTAGTTTATTTCCCTTGAATGGAAGCCTTGCTATGTAAGAAATTTCAAGCAAAAATAGTCTCAACTTGAGCGATTCGATACAAACCACGATCGAAATCGACCTTTCGGTAAATTATCAATGATGGCTGCTTTTGTTTCAAGAGCTTTATGACTGAATTTTGCCAATTATGCTTTTTCTAATCAATCATATATTGGAACTTTTTCCATGTTGATTGTTCTATTCATAGTTAAAGTAAAACCTTTCAGGGGTTGGACAAGCATCGATCATCTTAAAGAGCAATGCTAATTTTATGCGAACCCTTGCGAATTCACAGATCTGATTTGTCTGAAAAAATCAAATAATAATAATAGCACTCAAATCGCGTTATCTTTCGCAGCATTGTTTGTGATCAATTGAAATATTAACACCTCCAATAAATGACTTATCATGGAAATACAAGTATCGGCCAATCAATCAGTGATGATAACGAGTTATCTTGAGTGGGAAATAACCTTCATTAAAATAATATTAACACTGCTCATTTTTAACAAATTGGTCTGTCATTTATTTTTTTGATCAATTTCAGTTCATATCTTTAGCTTATATTCATTTTTATTTTTGATTAACCTTCATCGAAATCAAACAAAATGAAGATCTTTTTTCTTCCTATGGATGCGTAAGTAAACAATTTACTGTATTTGAGTTTTAAATTTTTCAAATTTCGCTGTAAATTTATTTGCATTTTTTTCATTTGAAGTCATGGCCATGTAAATGCTTGCATTGGTTTGGCACGTATGTTAAAGGATTTTGGTCATCAATGTGTTTTCGCTGTTCCTAAACGATGGTGTAAACCAATTGAAGAATACGATTTTAAGGTTGAAATTTTAGATGACCCAACAGTGCCTGATGATGAAGACACACAAAAAAAGTGGGGAACTTTCATGAACAAGTATGCTCATACATACAGCAAATCTCCGAAAGAACAGTTTGTTGAACTTATTGTCCCTGCAAGTGTTGCTTTTATTGATTATGTAAAGATAATTAATGATCAATTGCCAGCACTTCTTGAATCAACAAATCCAGATTTTATTATTATTGATTTCTATGTAACGGTTCCTTCAGTTATCAATTCAGGTAAACCATGGGCGCTTCTTTATTCGTGTAACCCTCTTAGGGCTTATGATGGACCTAATGTCCCACCATATGGCTTTGGTTTACCAATTGATACTGACCAAGCCACAACGATGAGTTATAAAATGTTTATGGCCGAAGCTATGAAAGATGTTAAAAGCAGCTTTGATGAATGGTTGGTTTCCAAAGGAGTAACACCAGAACCATTTGCTATTATGAAGCCATCGCCTTATCTCAATGTATATCCATTCCCTGCGGATCTTGATTATACAGAGATCGGTCCAGTTCCTGATAAATGGTTCAGACTTGATCATATGGTTCGTAAAGTTCAAGATGGACCACTTGGATTCGATGAAAAGTTTTTTGATCGCCCAGGAAAGAAGATCTTTTTTAGTTTAGGATCAATGGGAGCTGCAGATATTGAGCTGATGAAACGACTCATTGGTATTCTTGGCAAATCAAAACATTTGTTCATTGTTTCAAAAGGACCATTCCATGATAAATACGAGTTAGCAGAAAATATGGTTGGTGGTAAATATCTAAACCAAATGGCCATTTTACCTCGAGTTGATTTGGTCATACATCATGGTGGTAACAATACATTTGTTGAAACACTTTACTTCGGCAAACCTTTCATTGTTTTACCATTATTTGCTGATCAACACGATAATGGTCGAAGAGCTGAAGATAAAAAGATTGGTCGATCATTCCGTCCACATCACGTTACTGAAGATGAATTGTTATCAGCCATTGATGAGTTGTTAAATGATAAAGAATTGCATGACAGAGTAACCAAAATAGGAGAAAACATTCGAAATTCAAAAAGCATTGAGGATTTCAACAACAAAATTGAGATAATAGTTGCAGAACACAAATAATTCATTGTGAATCTAAATTAATCGATGCCAAGTCTGAAGTGTAATCTTATTTAATAAAGGTTTTTCTTGATTACTGGTTGTAGATGGTTACACCTTTGAGCCGTCCACCACAATCAGGTCCGTAATCATTCATTTTGTCAGTGGAATATCATCTGTCTAATAAGAAAGGAATAAATAACATTAAAAAATTAATATAAACATTGATTGTCTATTCGACAAAGACTTTCTTTATCATTAATGAAATGTTTTTTTTTGTGTTCAATCTATCGCTGTAAGCTTCGATAGATCGATAATCTCAATGCTTTCTTGAAGAAGCTCACGACATGGGATTTTCATGGTAACTTTGTCGATAACTTGGAATTGGTATTAGAAGGAGCTGATTTAAGAGTAATCAAATGTTTCTTGACTCCTCAAGGTATTTAAACGTCAAACCAGTAAATAAGTAAACTCGTTGATGACGCTAACAGTTGAGCAAAGTATGCCAATTGATAGCAAATTATGAAATAAACTTCAGCACATTCACTTGCTTTATCAATTGTAAATTACAATTTGTAATTAACTTTATTATATTGGCTTACCAAATTAGTCAGTTATAAACATAAATATATATATTCAACATCAATCTTAATCAGATTTTCATAGTTTCATCTGTATCATATTAGCATAGCTAGGCAGCCTTGAGTGCAGCAAGAGCTTTAATTGCCAATTGTGAATCCTTGTGCCATGTTTGGGCTTTCTCCAATTGAACTTCTGGTGACACCTCGTTTGTTTCAAAAGCAGTCGTCTGTATGATATCTGGACAGGTTATCGGTGACATAGATGTAAAAGATGGCTGATTACCACAATCAGTAGTAGAAAAAATTTCATCTGAATTTCCTTCCATCGATGAATCAAGGGTTGGAGATGGCTGCAATTGTAGTGTAATACCTTCTGGAGGTAAACATAAAATTAAGTTATTATTGGATACCAAAAGATTGGAGGGCACTTGAATCACGTTAACAGTAGACGGAAGTTGGATCAGCTTTACTTGAGCATTTTGAAGTAAATCGTTTCCAGCGACGTTATCCTCTAAAGGTGTAATATCAACCTCACCATTAACACCATAATTAGAAACTTTAAGCTCAATCATATCATCTCCATTAATCATAATGGCTTAAACTTTCACATTCAAACAGAACAAGGTTTAAATTTCACCAAGAGTATAAAGAATAACAATAATGATTATATATTTTATCAATATAGATATATTAATAAATATAGTAGATAGAAATGTACTAATATTATTATTGTTAATTACAGGCAAAAACAAATAAGTAAACACACAAAAAAAAGATGAAGGTTTGACTTTGAGGTTAAACTTTGAATATTTCAAAGGACTAGATTTGTACTTTGACTGTATACTTCGATAGAGGCAGGTTTTCAACCATCGATCGATCAAAGTTAATAGTTCGAGGTAAGATAAAACTGTTCAATTAGAATCAGCAATTATTGACATTTAAACAAGCTATGTGAATACAAAAACGCGTCAACGATGTAATCATTCCCATGGTTACAAGGCAAAAACCTGTAAACACAAGAATCGCTCGATTCGATTGTAAACAATTATGCGTGACATCTGATGGAGTTTAAAGTAACAAATGAGATGCTAATTTGGGCAAAAAATCAAAAAGTACAAGTTTAGTGGGATAAGAATACTATTTGATTGTTTAAGACAATTAATTTGTAAATAATCAGTGTAAAGCTATTGATGAACAATTGAATTGTCAAATAATTATTTTTGAACAATGATTTAACAAGAAAAATTAGTTCTTGTAAGAGGTTTATAAATGAAATGAGAGCAATCTATTTTGTCTACGACTCAAAGAGGATGCTCATTGGGAATCGGTTGCTTCCTTCTGGACAAACTCTAGACGGGTTAGGAATCTTAGGCTGACCCCCTAGGAGCCCCTAACGCTGCAGGCTTAGTTGTATTTGTACAACCCAAAGTTGTAGTCGTAGACATTTTTTTAAATCAGTCATTAATAATTTATTAATATCGTCTACTTTTGTTGGAATTGTTTTTAATAGGGAGAACGATGCAAAAATGAAGCGATGGATTTTTTTAATTTTCAGCTTTTCTTAATGAGCATCAAAAATAAATGAATAGATATTTTTAAATTCCTCTGAATAGTTCCGGTTACTGGTAAAATCAATAAAATCGACAAAAAATACATAAGTATTTTGTGCACAATATATTGCACAGACAGTAATGATTTTAACATCAATGAATAGCACTTCTTGTAAAGATGACGACTTTCTGGCAAAAAGTATATTTATAATCAACATTGTTGTTTTAATTTTGTCGGATTAACTAGCAGTGATCACTCAGTTATAACTCATCGAGTCTTATGCAAAATTCATGAAAACTGAATAAAGGATAAATAAATTTGCAATTATACTCTAAATTGTCAGAAAGTATGAAGTTTCAAATATAATAGTTTTCTTGAGATTGGAATATTTACACATAATGATACAGGTTTGAGATTTTTTAACATGTGTAACATGGAGATTAATACAACGCATAGCTTACATGAGTCGGTATTTTGAATATTTACAACATAAATTAGCAACAGGGCAAAAAGAAAAATGATGGACTGAGATACAAAAGATATAAATTCTATAAATCTTTCACAGAACTAATTTGATGAAACAGTCTGCGACACGTTGATCCCTTGGAAAGTTGTTCATCATTTTCTTTACACTCGCTTTGTGGTTCCACCTCTAATCTGGCGTAAAGATTTTTTAATTCATCAATTTCTTTCTTTTGTGTATCAATAAGACGGTGATAATATCTCTTGTATTCATCTAATTTAGATTTCATCCTGGCTTCTGAGTCGTCCATATCTTGATAGTACGAAGGTGCACTTGAAACGGTCATTTCGACGTTTTTTGAAATCATTAAGGCTCTTTCTAGGTCCTCTCTGGCCTCCACCATTGATTCTCGTTTTTGATCAAGTTCAGTGAGACGATCTTCGAGGTTGCAATTAATTTTAACCCAAAGTTTCCTCAGTGGAGCGAAAATAGTATGTAATTTATAAGATTGAAGATCTGGAGATTCAATGTCAGAAAATGAGTGAAGGTACTCAATAAACTTATTTACATATTCCTCTAAATGTTTATTATAAGATGTTTCGATTTCTTCCTTTTTCGTTTCTTCTATTTTTCTGATAGCTTCTTTGATGTCCTTTTCAAATTGAGCTGAATAATGAGTTTCGAGTTTCTTTATCCACGGTTCATGAGCATTTTTCAAAAACTCGTTGGTTTTACTGACATTCTTTTCAGTCTCCTTGAGCTTCTCTTTGAGTTCCAAGTTTTCTTTTTTAATTGAAGCTAACTGAGATTGTAATGAAGCGATTTGAGTTCGCCTGGTTTGTAGATTCACAAGACATTTTTCAAACTCTTCTTTGATGTCTTTGACATAATCACTTTCTCTTAAAGATGTTTTTTCACATTTACAGTCCGAGTTTGATGGCACTGTCGATTGATTTGAGAGTTTGACTTCCAGTTTCGCTATCTCTTGTCGCAAAGAGTCGATCTCATTGTTTTTCGTTTTCAAAAGTGCTTCATACTCGACTTTATTGCAGGTTTGCTGAAGAATTTCTTCGTATCGCTGTTGTAGATCATCCAGATTTGATTCTTTTTCAGCCTGTCGATTATTGAGTAATTTGTCTTTTTCCAAAAGTTGAGCCTTTAGCTTGTCAATATCTGCTCGTTTACTTTCCAATTCATATTTCAAACCTTCATTTTCTCCTTTCAACACTAACATTTCATTCTCATGCTGGTTTCGGAGCTTAGATAACATTGCTTCATAGTTCTCTCTTAGTCTGACAGCCGAATCACTTTTAGCCATAACACCAATTTGACGATTCAACGATTCAATTGTAGATTCAGCCAGAGAAAATTTCGCTTGAGCCTCAATCTTAGCTTCACTTTCAGATTTCAGTTGTATAGTCAAAGCAGAGATTTTCCCTTCAAGTTCAGTATTTCGGCATCTTTAGCTTGACATTTTTTCTCCAACAGTTGGTATTGATATGAAAGGCCTACATGATCACCATTCAGTACATTCAACTGTGATTTGAGAGCTGATACTTGATCAGACAGCTTTTGATTATCATCCAACATATATTGCACATGTTTGTATGACAGTTGAGAATAGTCATCATTGCCTGTATTTGTAGGATACTTTGTTTTAACTGGTTCATTTCTGTATGTTTTTCGAAAGCTTTCATCACTGTATTCGGAAAACGTATCTGATAACATTTTCCCGTAGTTTGAAAAATCTTCATAAGGTTCATATGAGTTAAACCTATCTTTACCATCCTTTGTGTACACTTTTGGAGATGACTCTGGTGTAGAAGAGGGATAATCCTTAATTGAACACGAGACAAGAGAAGCTGATGATGCCTCTGATGAGGCATAATTCATTGAGTACATTTTGAATAAAATTAAGTTGACATCAGTAATAAACCTTAAGTGACACCTTAATAAACAGTGAATTCAAACACAGATGAATTTATTGTAGAATACACCAAAGATTAAAACACTGTTAGACAACCATAAAAAATGATCGAGGATAATTAAAGTAATTAAAATAGTCAAAAATTAAAATAAAAAAGGATTCACAACAGTTTATTTTGGGTGTCAAAAACTGGTTCAACTAAAAACCGCCAAAACTGGTTGCCTTACAATTTTGGTTTGGTAACCAAAATTTGCCCACATCACCTTGGTTACCGGAGACGACAAAAAGCCTTTTTCAAAAAGGCAAGCCTAGTTTGAAGCTACTGTATTAACAATTCAGTATTGTAAGTCAATTATATTATTTTTTGCCGAAGTCTTATCTAAATATTGATGTTAATTGGGTTCATTATCAGATGAGTATTTAAATTTTTTGATGGTTGATTGGAAATTTTCTGGTTGATTGCCTTTGTGACAAGAGTTTTTGCATATTCATGAAGTTAAATTTCAATGACAACATTTCTTTCACTTCCTAAATTATTACCGAAGCAAAATGGAAGCAATTTTGTCAATTGATTAAAGTTTAATTTTAAACATGAAATTTTTCATTTCATCATTGATTGATGTGGTAATGTTCACAATGTTTAAAGATGGTGTAATTGAGTAGAGAGTGAAGGAGAAAGTAAAATGAAAGAAAAGATAATATTTTGAGAATACATTGATAATTATTGATCATTTCAGTTGATAGATGTTAGAAGTACTTATAATAATAATTAAAGTCATTTTGATAGAAAGAGAGATAAAATGCAAGTCGATAAACATCTTTTTTTCGTGTTTTATCTGTTATTTCATTTTGTTTGGCACAAACAGATTACTTCAATTCACACACAATATTAATGTTCAGAATTTAATAACTTTTCCTGAAAACCCACCGTTTTCTAGAGATTAAAAATTTCTCACACTAAGAATCACTAGAGAAGTTTATTAATCAGGTTTATGAATAAATGCAATAGATTCCGAAACTAAATGAATCTTGATAGCTATTGTTAGCACTAAACTTTCCATATGTCATCAAAATAAAGACGATTTGAGTAAATTATAAGCTTGATTGCATAGCTATAGATGCGACTGGCACTTTTGATTAAGTATGTAACTTGACTGTAATAAAGACTTTGAAATGTATACTAAATTATGGTTGATCAAGAGTAAGAATTAAGCAGCATTTTTAACAAATCTAAAAGCAAACTTGATTGAAAGATGCACATCGATTAGAGTTTATCAATAAGAGATTGTTCGTAAATTCAGTAGCCAAACAGAATGGCTCAAAATAATTTTTCGTTCTCATCTCGTTTTTTGAGAAAATATTATCGCTTCATCAGTTTATGCAAAAGGTATATTATCGACATTATGGTTACTCAAGACAAAAAGAACTTTCATTCAACCAATTCATAACTCGGCATAGATCATCATTATGATTAATACTGATACCAAGGGGATTTCCTCCTCCAAATGCATCTGACCCCGGCATCAGTCCTGATTTTAATTGAAGCTGCTTCACAAGCACGAACTGTTTCTTTGACTGATTGCATCAAATTCTGAGCATTTCCTTCGAGCATATCGGTTGCTTCTTGATCCTCCTCAGTAGCTGAAAATAAAAAATACAAATTAATGTGTTGATTCAATTAAAGACGGAGTAAAATGATTACCTTGAGCTCCTAGCATAGTTGCCTTGACTGTTGACAAAATCTTCAATTGAGTTCCGATTGTTGGGATACGTTCACACACTTGTAAAATGTTCTACAAAGGAAACAACAAAACAAACACTTAATATTAGTAATCAAGTCTAAATTATCACCAATCAAGGTTCGACTTACAGTTCTCATACGCTTGTCTGTACAAAGTTTTGCTTGTTCCTTGGCTAATCTGGTCACTTCTTCTGAAGCTTCAGCAATAGCTTTGGCACATGCAATGAGATCTTTTTTGGTTCCACCTTCACCTCGAACCAATTGACTCAATCGTGCCATAAGAAGAGCCATTTTCTTTGCAGCAGCAATTATCTCATTGTCTTTACTAGACCATTGTTTTACTTCTTGGTGTAGTCCATGAGCGGCCATCTATAACACATGGAAAATTTGTACAGCACAATTAGAGAAAATGAAGTGAATTTAAAAGGGAACGAATTAACTAACCATGATGGGTTGATTGGGTTGAATGATTGGGAATCTTTCCTCAAACTCATCATCCGTCTCTGCTGGTGGTGGTGGTGGTCTTGGTGGAGCTTCATCGTGGACGGGTAATGGTGGTCGTGGAGGTGCTTCTTCTTCTGCAATTAATACAATTAATTAGTTTTAAACAACTAACATTATGGAAACGTCTAAAAACCAAAATTTAGACATAATAAAGCAACAGAATACAAAATAATACAAGATAAACAACGATTTAAAGGAATCATGCTGTATTATCAGAAGGGAAATGTTTTTGTCAATGCTATTAGAAGGTTAACAAAGTTAGTATAAATGCTAACAAAAGATGAATTAGTTATCAACGAGACATCGTGCAAATTAATTAATACAACAGGAAAAGACAATCACAATACAAAGACGCAACTAACAATCAATTAATGCATATTAGTCTCAACTACCTTTTCTATAACCGTAATGAAGGGGTAACGTTCGTATGTCAGATTGTCGTTTAGTTGGATAATGGTAATCCATATTGGCCATAGTATTGTAGCTAGAAGGTTGACCCAATGGCGATGCTTCTGTTATTTGATTGTCGTTTAATTTTTAAAGATTGATACTAATCAATTAGTATTGGTAATTTTAAGAGTTTCAACTAATCACTAACTAAACACGAATTTTGACGTGACATAAATCACTCCGTTTGTCTTATTTTCAGCACTACTTACCTCTTAACATGAGTTGACTGATGTCTGGAAGCTCGGGTGAAACAGCTTTCCTCACATTGGCAACAGCATTGATCAACTGAAAAACGATTAATTAAAACGATTAATAAAATAATAGTTGACTTGAATAAATGAAAAAAAAATCGAACTCACCGCTCTATTCGAATCTCGCCATTTTGAAATAGCATTTGGATCAGTTATGTTAAGAGCAACTGCCTTAGCGTTTGAAACCATTGGAGGTACAGCTAAACATTAAACAATAATAAAGTTAGATGAGCAATGTTTAACGAGACTAATTGGGAGTAAACAGGACTGATCGAGATGATCAACTGTTTTCTGTCAACAATTGATGGGAGGATTGTAATAAAAACAATACCGTTTTGTAATTCATCAGCTGCTTTATTGACTCGAGCAATAAAAGCTGGATCTTCAGAGTTATCAGCTTCTTGTTTAGCCACCATTAAAACTCTGTTTGACAATCGTGCAATAGCAGTTGTATTGTCCACCATTTGTTGAGGTTGTTGATTAACAATGGCACTCTCACAAAGAGCCGAATGTTTTTTAATTGCATCCTCTGTACGAGTTTAAAGAAAGTAAAATTATAAATCATTATTGTTTCAATAAAGCAAAAGTAAAACAAAATCAATTGTTTCTTTGAAAAGTTAAAGATTGACCGACCTGAAGCCTTGATGAACGCTATTGTGTCTATTGCTTCATCGACCAAATTACGCATTCGATTGATACTATCAGCGTATTGTTTCCTGAGATTTGCAAAATGTTCGTCAGCAGCAACATTATCAGGATGAGTTAACCGAATGCGACCAGCATTGATCAATTGAGGACATAAACTTTCACATTGATTAGCTGATGACATTAAACCTTCAGCCAGACGCTTGTTGGGTGCACTTCCAGAGGCAACATTACGAGCTGTTTGAGCTGCGCGTTGATTAAATTTGGACAGCCCTTGAGCTTTATCATTGAAATTAACCTCACGATTAGGTGTTCCTTCAGGAGCCAAAGCGGCATCAGTGAATTGTTTAAGCGGAGTGGTTACGTCTATGAAATCTTCAACAACACGGTTAACCAGAGCATTTTCACAAAGCTTTTGTAATTCGCCAAGTTTATTTGATAATCGTCTGGCAATATCTTGAGCTTGTGGAGTGTTACCTTGACCACGACGAACAAGATCACCCAACTGTCTATTCAATGATTCAACTTCATCACATAGATTTAAAATATCTTGACGATGAGCAGGTGATGATAGAGAAGCTAAACGACGAGCTTCATCAATAATTGATTGTATAGTTTGTTGGCCCAATCCTTTGTCATCAAGAGCTGGATTAGCAAGCCAAGATTGAGCTTGTTCAACTTTTCCTCTCAAAGTGTGGGCTGGTTGACGAACTCCGCTTCTCTCAACATTGGTAACAGCTCGGTTACACATACCGATGAGCTCTTTTAATTTCTGTCCAATACTTCGACTGAGAGATTGAGCTTGAGGCGAATCTCCTTTTCCCTCAGATCTTAACTCACATAAGGCATTAATCATGGCATTAATATCACCAGCTCCTTTTTTAATAGCATCACGATCTGGTGGTAAAGATCGGTCAGCAATTCGATTAGCATATTCCAATATCTGGCGTATTGATTTCTCTCCAATTCCTCCGGGTAAAACTGTTGGGTCTTCAAGCCAATCATGAGCAGCTTGAACTTTTCCATCAATGGCTGTCTAAAATTCAATATTCCAAAGCAAATATAAAATTAATTTTGATTGATACAAATAAGCAACTTCGAATTTTCTGTCAAAATTTCTCCAAATATTGATATTCAAGGAAACTGTGACAAGGTGAATAAAAACAAAAGTAACAATCATTTACCAAAGCTTTCTTCATACAGGTTAAGTTGTCAGCATCCCATTCATCTTCATCGTATGTTGTAAGCTGTAATACTCGGATTATTTGATTGATTTCATCAGTCATTCGTGTACACAGATAGTTCCGGTTTTCAGCAGCCTCATCCGTTTTTTTACCTGAACCATGAACAAAATAAATTTTATAATAAATTTCATAATAAATTAAAACCTGTTAAAGCCAATTAATGAAAATCAAACCAAGATTTCATCAAGCAAATTGACTCAAGCAAACCATTTGAAAAATGCTAAACTACAGAAACAAAAGAGGGAAAATCTGATCTGATCTTGTCTTTTGCTTGTACAGTTGCTCAGCTGTTGCAATTTGATCTAATTTGGTTTTTTTTTCAAAATAATTTCTTTGGACAATTACAACTGTATTAGCTTGAAATAACAAATCCAACCTTGAGCTAAAAGTTGTACGTATATTTTCATGGCGCAGATTAAAATTGGAGCTAAAGTTTTAACTGCATCCAAACTTCGAATCAAAATTTCTCGATGAACCATATGAGTTAATTCCTTTTCACGAGCATCAACATCTCTGGAAACTCGAGTCAAGTGTGGGCTGACATCCTGTAAGGTGTTGTTGGTGAAGTTGAGGGAAACAAAAAAAGAATATAAATATAAATGTAAGTATAAATAAAAAAAAGAAGAGAAAAAGTTCTATGATATTAATGGGAAAATTTCCAAGTTGGCAGATTCTTATTATCTTCACAGCTACCAATTCCGACACCATCAACACATTATCTTTTATTTTTCCTTCAAGTTCTCTCTTTCATTTGGCCTACTGCTTTTAAGATGCACACAATTTATTTAAATATATTACTGATACAACCAACTGACAGGTATTACCCTTGAGAGGATTTTATGAAGATTAGACAGGGATGAAGAAAAATACATATAATGAATAAAACAGCGAACAATATGGAAATTTATGAGCATTCACCTGATAGATAACTTTTGACAACCCAATGAAAATCTTAATAACCTAATGAACTCCTAAAGATACACGAAAATATACGAAAATTTCAAAATCGAAAACAATTATTAATGAAAATAATTCTAGTTGACTAACTTGACTTTGTAAGTAGGTTTGCCAGCAAAATAAATCAAACCAAAATGCTGGAACAAAGATCTTAAAATAATTTAATTTTGGTTTACTTTCAAACTTCTGTTACAATCCATCAAAATTGATTCTCAGCATCTGATTAAATTTAATATAAACTCTATAAGATTGTTGGATAAATTGGATGATCATCAAAATACTAAACATGCTTCTAAAAAATAACAAATAAAGTTAAAATACAAATCAAATCAAGGGTTTTCCCAAAATTGATGAAAAATTGTTGGAAAACCAATTTTATCGCAACAGCATTTTAATTTAGACTTATCGTTGTGAGATTATTAGCTGTAATTCAGTAGCTATCGCAAGAACTGATTTAGTGACTTAATAAGGTGTAAACAAGACGATTGGCAATGAGAACTGGCAGATTATTGTAATTTCATTTCATGGTGGATTGCGTGAAAAACACAATGAGGTTCATTATAATTACCACTTGAAGAGTTCATGAAAAGATATCAGATTACATCAGATTTGGATCCTGAATCAAGTTCTCGGTTTTTAAGTTATCATTACAAGGTTTAACGCTTGTTTTTAGATGCTATGACTAAAATGGAAAGATCGATTAAATATTCATTCTTCATGCAATTTTCTACTGAAAAATCAAGAACATCTTTCCAACCTTAGAGTATAACCATTAAGAAAGCAAATACAGAAAGTCAAAATCAATCAATTATTCAATGTTTTCAGCAACAAAAATTTCTATTAGGAGTGAAAAGTTCAATATGTTTAACCACTAAACGAAATATTTATCATGTCTTGCTTAAGTGAAACAGAGTGACCAAGTCAAACCATGTAAAAATCAAATAAGTAAAATTAAAGCGAAAATTAAAAATAATTACTAAATGATATTGACGAGATCTGCTTTGAATTTATGAACTATGAACATCCGTACAGCTCGAACTCAAACAGCTATTCAAAATTCCTCAACTCAATCTAAATAGATAGTTGTTTAATTAGTTAAGGTCGAAAGAGTGATAATTTATACAGAAATAAGTAATAATCGTATAATTCTACTATTGAATAGGCTTGAATTGAATAAACAAATAATTTAAAATCAATGTGGATGAAATGTTAGAAGACTGTTGTTTTGAATGAGGCAAAGACCTTGTAAAGTTAGACTAACCGTGAAATCTTATGCGTTAATTTGAGTAAAAAACATATGAAAGCAGAAAAACTGTGGATAAAATAGCAAATTTCACTGTGAAATCCTCATTACAAATTGGTGTACAAAGTAACTCAACCAACGATTTATTTCTCAGTCAAAAGAAAAGAGGATCTAAAATGAAAAAAAGTAACCTTGAATATAAAGTTGAACAGGAGGATGAAAAATAAACAGCTTTGATGAAAAGCCTATGTGAAAAGCTGCAATAGTAATCTGATGAAACAAGACTGTCAATGAAATTGTGATGAGAAGAGAAAAAATAATAATAAAAAGGTTGCTGAGTGTCTCTTGATGGTTACAGACAGGAAGCAGTGATTGCTAACATTCAGGAATGAGGAAAAATTAAAGGCAAAGGTAAGAATACAGGATAAATTGTAATAACAAAAAGCACCTTTACAAAATGTACCAAGTCCTCCATAGTTTCAATTACTTCAGCAACAGCGAGATAATTTAAGACCTCTTTGCATGTTTTTATGATTTTCCGCACTTCCGACTCATCGAAACATAGCAACAGAGATGATGTTCCTTGCAGGATACCTGAAAATATTGTAAATAAAATCTGCATTAATAAAGATTTCGAAAAATATGCAAGGAGCGAGATTTGTAATTAGTTACCTCGTGCGCCTTCAATCAATTTTTTACGAGCTGGTTGTGAGTATGGATCAGCTTTGAGCATAGCTGATGCCTCTTCTAAAAGCTTAGATGCTTTCTCCACCCGCTGAAGCGAGGCTGGCATATCTTGACGAAGAATTGGATCATCACTGCAATTGATTGTGTCCCTTCCGACCTGATGATAATACAAATACAGAGTCCTAGGGTCACCAAATGTCAATCAATAAGAGTAACCACAGATTACTTTTATACCAAACCTTAATTAGATTCATCACAGCTGCACTGACTGCTAAGACTGGCTTTTCCAAGTCAGGCATAGCGGCACCATCTTCTGCTTCTTCATGTAGGATGACTAGACGAGATACCTATGAAATAAACATTGAAATAAATGATTTAGTAAGGGTTGTAAGTGGTAAAATTAAGGAAAAATACCTGTTGAGCCACAGGCTCTAAGATGCTCTCAATGGTTTTAGTATGGAAAACTGGCATCTTTACTGTTGAGAGTGATTTCCAAAATTTCCAATCACCACTTGATTTACAAAACAAAGCACTTTATTTTTATTTAGCTGTTCCAATGTTATTCCTTTAAAACCGAGAGAACATTTTGATCACACTTCAACATAAACTTTTATGAATCAAAACCTGTTGAACTATGAGTAAACAAAAAAATAGAGGAAAACAGTGAAAGTCAAAGTTAATAGTCAACACTCAAATGTCAGCAAGTTGAAGATGGAAGGAAAACTGGTTAATCAAAAGCATTTTGTGGGCAATTCAGTTGATCAATAATACTGTAATGCTTTGGTCATTATTACCACCTCAAGAGGCAATCATGTATTTCCACATATAAAAAATAATAAGCAAGAAATGAGTATCAACACATATTTAGTTACACAATATTAGCACAGATTAATGTTCCAAAGCACTGTTATATTTTTGAAAAACTTAATTTCGATAGAAGTGTAATTTACACAACGAATGGTCAGTAAAATTACCTCAGTAAAAATCCATTGATTAAAGGTGTAATATTGCGATGATATTGTGTTCTGTTTGAACGTTGAGAATGAAAAAAGACAGATGATTGTTGTTATTGTTTTAGATTATGCTAGAGATGATGAAAAGGAAGACAATAATGTAAAAAGTGAGATGTATGTGCCAATTAAGGTGTTGTTAGAAGAAGATGTAATTGGTGAGATGAAAGCTAAAGTTGGTTGAAAAAACAGAGATGATAAAGTTTATACTGTGAGTATGTTAACCTAGTAACCAGTAACCATAAAAGGAGATGACCGATGGAAGATTGGTTCCTCCTCTAGACTACCCTTGTTTCAGAGTATGATGTGTTTATGATGAATTAACTGAAAGGATGAAGTGGTAACAACATGAAGAAGAGAGGTGGAGATGAAGGAGGAGATGAAGGAAGAGGATGCTTTTGAAGAGGCAACCATGTGGGTTGAACTGAGGCAGAGCTCTCTTGAGATTCTCGTGAGTACTAATCCTAGGTTAACGTTCAACGGTAACAAGTTAATGGATAAAGCAAAGAGTAACTTGAAGATGGTAGAGATGATGATCAAGATGAGAAGGTGATTCCCACACATGTTAACCCTCACAATTAATTCTTGGTTATTTATGAACTTTTTTTTCGAATTTCGTTTCACTTTTCTCCTAAAAATATATTAATAGTCGCTCCAAACTTCAATTTCTTGAGCATTTACTGTTAAACAAAATGCAAACAACAATCTATTCAATGTAACATCCCAGTAATTTTATCCACATGTGAATAAATGGAAAATCCCTCGAGTCTTTCAGATCGCCCTCAATCAATATTACACTGGATTATAATTGCATTAAGAAACAAAATATATTCGTACATTGGTCAGGTTAAAATCTGCAGAATAATTGAATAACCCTAATCAAACTAAATTTATTTACAAGAGCAGGGAAAATGAAACCAATTTTTTGTTATTTCGTGGTCAATGCATTTCTTTAAAACTTGAAGCATAAATTTTATGAAAAGGATGAACCAGAGGCTAAATACAAAAACCATAAAAATTTGTCATTTTAGGACCCAGAATTTTATCCTTTTGCTCAGAAATTACAAAATATTTTTGTGTCCTTTCAATGAGCTTGAAATATTCTTCAGGTATAAAATGATGGCTTTGGTGACTCTATGAAATTACGAAAAGTTTATCTTCTAAAATTTCAATTCCAGCGGATTCACAAATCGGGTCAAAACATGCCAAAATGTAACTTAAAGTGATGAACCAGATAATAAGGTTAATTTTCATACATTCGTCGAATAGGCGGTGTTTAGAAAAATGCAAAATGCGATTTCATACACAATCAATTATTTGATTTATGTTCATTAATTATCTGCCAGAAAACTCCTGTTTTCTGTAAAATGAAAAGTTGGAAATGAAAATCACAAAATTGAACCGTTAGGCGAATAGTGAGAAAGGCAATTTCCTGATAGTCTAACTATCCGTTAATAAGAATCTGATTCATTTGCATAATCAACAAATGATTTACTTCAATACAGTAAATGTATAAAATATTATTAATAAAATTGAATGTTATTTACATTTCGATATATCGATTCGTGTCTTAGCCGAGGTTTTTTTCAAGCCGCTCTCGTCAAATGCTACGAAAATAAAGATATAAAAAATATTTTGATGCTTGACATTACAATTTTAGATACAATATTTAATTAATTGTTAGCAAACATTTTTTTTAATTTATTATAAATTTGCTTTCAGTCATTATGAGAAGATGGATCTCCATAGAAATGACAAGCAAAAATTTTAGGCAAAAAGCGATTCACGTCTTAACATTTTTGTCCATCACAATTGTAAATGAAGTTAATAACTTAAAAAATTAGTGTAAATGAGCTTGAGTAGTACAAGAGAAAGATTGAAACAATCTAAATTGTATTTCTAAAAAATCAGAGTCTAATAAAAAGCACTGAGTGGTTAAAATTACTCAATGGTCCCTTGGTTGAAAAGGTAACTCTTCGGTTAACTTGAAGCAAAGCCCGCCAAAAAGTGTTTTTCTGTTTGAAAACATCTGGTTTGGTCTTGCAATTGTTTTCTAAATTTCTCATTTTTTTAACAGTTTTTAAATTGATTTTGTTCAAAGTTAAAAATATTCAATCTGAGTCATGGATAAGCCTAAGATGGCTTGTCGAGCGACTCCCAAACCAACTAAGAGCAAATATTGTGCCAAGATAAGTGAGGGTTTAAAGATCGCTACCTGGCTCCAAGGTGATCAAGCTAAGTGTATATCAACGGTTAAACAAGCAATCAAAATTTTTAATGATCATTACCAATTGGAGTCTTGTGCATGTATAAACAGAGGATCCAATTTATTAGTGTTAGCTGTTTCTTCATATCATCTCTTTTTCCTCTCACTGGAGTCTTTTTCTGAGAAAGTTGCTGAGGAGGAGAAAAAGTTTGAACCAGAGGATCAAACTGACCAACCAGACTCTAATCACGATGATGACGGTATTTCTGGATCTCATCTACCGAATATTGAGGCGTCTAATTCATCTCGTTATGGAAATGATTCCCTACCTCAGTTTGTCAACTCAAATTGTCAACAAACTGTTTTGAAACCTTTAAAACAATGTGTTCAATATCTCCGAGAAGCCTTGAGTGACGCCAAAGCAATTCCAGCTAAACTTTTGGAAGGACTCAGATTGAATACTTTGCTTCTAACGGCTCATAACATATTCAAATGCTACTCACAACCAGATTACCAATATCATTGCGCTCGCCTTATGATTGAATTGGCTGGAAAAATTCTGCCAGAGGAAAAAGAGTCGTTACTGACTGCTTATCACATTTTAATTCGTCTTTATCTCGATTTTAATATTGTTACAAAGGCCAGAAAGTATCTTCAGATGGCCCAGAAAACAATGGATCAAATGAAATTGAAAAATTTTGAAAGCTATCAAGCTGGACTAATTTATCTGGATCAATGCGAAATTGAACTTAAGCTGGGATCTTCTGAAGAAAGTGGAGCTAAACTAAAAAAATTTCTACAATCTCAGTATCTTAACAAACTGACGCTTAACCGTTTTTACTTGAAGGGCTTAGCTCTTTTACTTGCTTCTAAGTTTCCTTCTTCCTATCAATTTTCGAGCGATTTCAATGAATTCCTCGAGCCTTTGCATATTTCTTTAACTATTTTGAAAAGATGGCACCGAAGTTTACTTGCTTTGCCTCCTAAGGAGTCTGATACTATTGAGGATGATCACGCTTGGTTCAAATATGATATCTACTCTTTTTCCATGGATGCATTGTACCTGGCCAAAACCTTCTATTTAAACATTGGATTCCCATTCGAGCTATCTCCTTTTTTCAACTGTCTCCTCTCTTTGTCTCGTCGTAACTGTTTTCTTCTTTGGTAAGACTATTTCTTTTACTTTTTCTTACTATTCTAACGATTTCAAATTCTTTCTTATGCAGGTCCATAAAGTTATTGAAAATCGGAGCTTCTATTGATCTAAAATGTGATAAAATCAAACCAGTTTTAGCAAAATTGCAAAATGGACTTAAAACGTTGACAATAGTGTCCACTTCAAAGACAAATACTGAATCTGGCGATCTTCAATCTAAATCATCATCTCCCTCTAAGTTGCACTCTAAACTTGTTAATACGTTCAATGATATTGACGTCGAGTTACCTGATAATAGTGCCCATTATTCAGATTATTCAAAAACATCGGATCACTGTATTCATGATATTGGACATATAAATGCTTGGGATGTTGAGAAAATTTTAAGAAAAAATCATTCTAAAGACGATGATGACGATATCATAGATGAACCAACATTCGCAAAGATGCTTGATTCCGTCGGATCAAGTCTACCATTTCCTTACAATGTCCACTTCATCGATCTATTAGTAACCTTTTCTTATATCAAAGAAAAATTTGATGCAGAATTAATCGATAAAATGCAACAAGTCATGAAATCGTTTGAAAACTCCCAGGATACGATGTTTCAAAAATTGATCAAATTTCTGCATGTCAAAGATGATGAGCTGATTCCTCTATTGATTCCAGATATTCTACTTTTAAAATTGAACATGGTCGACATGTTAACTGATTATTACTCGAAGAAGAATGATTTTTCCTCCGTTGTTTCCATTTGTTCCTCTTTCCTGCCGAAGATTGTGGTACCTTGCATCAGTTTCACCATTAACGATTACATAGCCAGACTTCTGTTTAAACTCATCAAGGCCAAAAACTCCTTCCTCAATTTAAAACCTTCGTTTCCTGAGTTTGATTCAAAAGAAATCCAAGAGAAGATGGTTAGACCAATGCTGACCTGTAGAACACCTTCACCTGTTAGAACAAAAACCATTTCAAATAAAATAAATGCTCCAAAAAGAGAAGCTAACTACAAAATGGAAGAGCTACGTGATTATGCGAAAAGTTTACACACAATTAATCCACCTAAAAAACAAATACCTAAAAGAGTAACCAGAAACTCTGCAAGACATAGTTCTATCTCAAGTGACAAAGCTAGTTCTACTGACTCTGATATTATCATATTGGCCGAGAACATCAAACCTCCTTCATCTGCTCGGAAGGCTCGCACCTCATCCAAAAACAAAATCGTCCCAATCTTGCGTTACAACGGGGCAACTAAAAATGAACAATCCGAACCCTTGGCAATATCAAACAGTCTCTCAGCTCCAAGTAAAAGTTCTGCCTGTCCAATCGATAGTCTAACCGAAGCAATTGACTGTATTACAATAGATGATCAAACTGTTGATGGAGACGTATTTGTTTCTCATTCAAATTTGATTTCAGAAGTTACCGCTGCATCATCAAAGATTAACACAAATATTAACAGTCTAAAAAATCTATCAGTTTATTACTGTAACCATCCACCAATCGATATATATCCTGATCTTAATTACCAGCTATTTCAACTTTATTCCTCTTCGAAGAGACCGAATTTAAATGCAGCATCATATCATCTACACGAATCATCTAACTCTTCTATGATTCGATATCGAGCTTTATTTACTAACGAGAATAAAAAACGGTTGAAGGTACCCATGGAGTTATCTTTGGACAACATTATCTTTGATCCTATCAAAGATATCAATTTCCAAAATTTTCATAAAAAAACACAAATAATACCAGAAAATTGGCGAATTTTGCAAATTTTTTCTATTCCAAACAACAAGAGTGACAAAGGTATTCCTGACCTTCTATTAAGTAGATGGCAAAAGAATAAGAAAACTGTGATGATAAAAATAAAAGGAAACCCAGATAAAGTAGGTTTTTTTTCATTTCTATTATTTTCAATTCATTTTCTAATATTTATCTTTTTCTCAATTTAGTTTACTAGAAATTTCATGGATGAATTCTATGAGATTATTCAATTATCCAATGCTTCAATAAGAAAACAAGATAGCCAAACATTTTGGTCTGCTAGAACAGCGCTAGATCAACGTCTAAATATGCTTCTTCAAAGTGTTGCCGATGCCTGGTTAGGACCATTCAAATCTCTCTTTATGGGAGATGTTCAAGATTCAAAAATGCAGAAACTCCGAGCTGCTATCAAGAAGAGTGTTTACGAATTTTTTGATCCTGACCTTTGTTGTGATGAAGCTCTTTTGGAATGCATAATCGAATCTTTCCCAATTTTAACCGCTCATCAATTCGAAACAGCAATGTGTCTATTATTCAATCAATTTTCATTTACGATTTTAGAAGAATGTTATCATAATTGCATGGAAGTTTTTGAAAAATTCTATCCTGATGATGAGAAAAAAGATTTACTACAGAACCTTAATTTTGGACCAATTGGATTAATTGTGAACAAGCAACTCGAAGGATTCCCTTTTGAATCACTCCCTAACGTTATTTCAACCAAGCAACAAATTTTCCGAATTCCTTCATTAAGGTTCCTCACTGCATTGCTGGAAACTCATTTAAAAACCGAAAAATTATACACCCAAGGAATTAATTCATCCAACGCTTATTATTTATTGAATCCAACTAATAATCTAATGAAAACAGAGAATCGTTTTAAAGATAAATTTATCTCTCAAAAAAGTTGGAAAGGATGTATAAGTCAACCACCTGATTGGAAAGATTTGAAAGACTCGCTAACAAAAAGGGATTTGTACATCTTTTTTGGTCATGGTGCAGGCTCGAGATACTTTAAATCGATCCCTGATGGAATTGATTCAGTAACTTTGAGAACGGCAGCATTAGTCGTTGGTTGTTGTAGTGGTAAATTATTTCTCGATGGCTCTATGTTTGACAGCTTTGGTATGCCTTATCGCTTCATGATAAATGGTTGTCCGACTTACGTTGGAGTTCTTTGGGATGTAACTGATGGTGATATTGATCGATTTGCTGATAAGTTACTCACTCTTTGGTTACCTAATTGGCCAGAAAACGAAAAGAAAGAGACAGAAGAAAAGAAAGCAAAATTCCGGGCTTTATCGGAAGCTCTTCTTAATGCAAGAGCTGCTTGTAGATTCACTTGCTTAACTGGAGCCGCTCCAGTTATTTATGGTCTTCCAATTGCTCTCAAAAAATAAATTTCATAGATTTATAATAGTTCTGAGCCAACCATTTCGTTTAACGTTGTAAATGTACAAAAGTAATGTTTGTGAATTATATTGATTAATATTAGCTATTTGTATTTTCAAAATAAAATTTCGCACAAATTAAGTAGGTGGAAATCTTACAAACTGTTTACATTGAGGCATTGTACAATGAGGGTTATAACAAAAATGGTGATGAATTGGTGGTGGGAGGTCAGCGAATGTCTGTTGCCATTGAAATTGTAAAGTTCTTTGATGTTGTAGCTGTGGTTGATGAGCTTGTGGCGGTGGTTGATGGGCTTGTGGTGGTGGAAAATGTGCTTGAGGTTTGCGAGGTGGAGCAATCTTTTGCTGATGAGCTGGAACGATTTTCTGCTGATGAGCTGGTGTGATCTTCAGTTGAGGGGCTGGTGTAATCCTCTGTTGAGGGACCGGTGTAATCCTCTGTTGAGTGTCTGGTGAAAACTTCTGTTGAGTATCAGGTGAAAACTTTTGTTGAGGGGCTGGTGTAATTTTCTGATGAGGGGCTGGTGTAGCCTTCAGTTGAGGGGCTGGTGAAATCTTTAGTTGAGGGCCTGGTGTAATCCTCTGTTGAGGTTCTGATGAAATTTTCTGTTGAGGAGCTGGTGTACTTTTCTGCTGAGGGGATGGAGTAATCCTTTGCTGAGAGTCTGGTGAAAACTTCTGTTGAGGGGCTGGCGTACTCTTCAGTTGAGGAGCGGGTGTAATCTTTTGTTGCGGAGATGGTGTAATCCTCTGTTGAGAGTCTGGTGAAAACTTCTGTTGAGGGGCTGGTACAGTCTTCTGTTGAGGGGTTGGTGTGATCTTCAGTTGAGGGGCTGGTGTTGGCTTTAGTTGAGGGGCTGGTGAAATCTTCATTTGAGGGCCCGGTGTAATCCTCTGCTGAGGTTCTGATGGAATCTTTTGTTGAGGAGCTGGTGTACTCTTCTGTGGGGCAGGTGTACTTTTCTGTTGAGGGTTTGGTGTACTCTTCTGTTGAGGGGCCGGTGTGATCTTCTGTTGAGGAGCCGGTGTGATCTTCTGTTGAGGGGCTGGAGTGAACGGAACTGGAACGGCAAGTGGATTCATGTTGTCGGTTTGCTTCTTGGTTGACTGAACGACTTGGTTGACACTTGTATGTTTATTTAGATTCACTGCGGATAATTTGGGGCGCTTTTTTATACTTGAATGTACAAGTGGTGGATTCGAGGATTTATCCTTTTGGTGGTTTTGCGGTCGTGATTTCGTTTTTTGTTGTTCACTTTCTTTAAATTCCAACAGTCCAGTATTGATATAAAATCCGCCATATTTTGTTGACATCGTAGACGGTACCAACTCATCATAGGCTTCACTATTATCAATAAATGGATCCGTTTCATCGTAACCATATCCTTTGTCAATGAAATCTTCCAAAAATCCTTTGCCTTTGTCTTCATTATCATCATTATTTTCACCGTCTAATTTTCCTTTAGCGTTTCTAATCAACTCTGGGTATGAGAACTCAGCAAAGGTTTGTGAGGTAGACAGATCAATTGCAAGTCTTATTGTTCTCTCTTCAGCTTCAGGTTTTTTAATGTTTTTAATGATATCTGCGAACGGCCGCATGTCAGATTCAGCAGGACCTGAATGTGGTGCAATAAACGATAAGCGTTTGGACTTGTTCATTCTTAATCACAAAGTGTAATTCATAATATTAGACTAAAGTTAATAAATTATAACAATTTAAGCACAGAATTAAATTCTAAATGATAGTTGGCTTTAATGAAGCTAGAAACTATCATCAAATTTTTAACTAAAGCAGCTTATGTAAAAGCTGCTTTTCCATGTAAATAAATCTTTTCGATCAGATGTAAAGGTGAACGATACTATCGATACTTGAGCGGCTTGACTCTATCGAAATGGCGAATTATATATCGATAGTTTATTAATAAACCAGAATAAGTTAATTTAAGGACTAAATTGGAAAAAGCTAAATTCCAAAGTTTCTCATCAAAATTTGAACAATTTAAATCGCTTATTATAAGAAGAAACTCTAGTGTTATTGATTGAAACGTATCAGCTTCAGTTTAGCCGATTTCGGCTGAATGGCTTGCCTGAAGCAACTTGCTTGAGGTGAGTCATACTTTGGCTCCCGATTTGTGAGCAAAACAACTGGTTGATAGGGAGAGAGATAATGTTTTGAATTTGAACTGAACTGGTTTCCATCAGACATTAAATCTGTTTAACGCCAAGAAGGTATTCAGTGGATATTGTGTTGTGAAAATCTGTTGTCGACCTTTTAGATAGTTAGTTGATTACTCATGTTACTTTTCCTTCATGGCTAATGCCTTAAACGGATCGGATAGGAACATACTTGATTCGACGAATTGTGTTAAACTCTCCTCCATTTTGGAATCATTTAATGCTCCAATTAATGAAGAACAGTGTTGGGCCTTGTGTCATCAAACCATTAAAACCATCTCAACTTTAATCGATAAACGTCCTCTCTATCTACTCAATGGACCATCCAATCTATACATCAACAAAGATGGTTTTGTTCATCAAAAATCTTTCCTTGAATCTGTTGATCATAAACGCCTCACACCATCTCTCAATAAATTGATTGCTTCCATTGGAGCTACCCTGTTTCTAGCTTTGGATTATGGCCTGGAATCGCAAGAAGAACGTTCCTTGGATCCAAATCTGGAATTATTAATTGACCGATTAACCTGTTCAACGGACGACAAAGAAGATGAAAATGAAGACAAGGAGTCAAATGATGAAGGAATTGAAAGAGATTCGCCTGAATATGAGTTTGGACCACTTCTCATTGATGGATCTAACCTGGTTGAGCAGGTATTCAGTGTGTGTAATGGTCGCCTCGGGGGTGCTGAGGAAGCAGAAATTCATTACAGAGCAGTATGCCGAGCATTGGTTGCTGAAGCAATGGAGTTATCTTCTTTTCTACATAAAATTACCTCTGTGACTGAAGAACTAAAAAATGGTGCCATTTCCATGTCTAATTCTGGAGGACATCATCATCATTCCAGGAATAGGAGTGACTGTGCGGATTCTAGTGGTGCTTTGATCTCTCTTGAGGGTCTGAGATTAGCAGATTGGGCTCGTCTCTGGATGCAAGTTATACAAGAGTTGCGGCAAGGAGTTAAGTTGAAAAAAGTGAGCTTAACAGAAAAACCGTCTTTTGAATTTGAGCTAACGCCGTACGAGATGCTTCTTGATGATATAAGATCTCGAAGGTACAAATTGAATAAGGTTAAAGTCAATGGAAGCTCACCTTCTAGAGTAACTAAAGATGCTCATGATCTTATACTCGACTTCATTCGATCTCGCCCGCCTCTAGTCCCTGCTTCTAATCGTAAATTACCTCCTCCACCGGTCCGGGAGCCTAGTTTATTTGAAAAGCTGCTTGATTCAATAAGGCAACAGCCAAAGCTTAAAGTGATTCCTGCAGAATCCATTAACCAACGGTCTTCACCGATTAGGTTAGGCCGAGTGCGGGAGGATAATTGTGATTCAACGTGTAACAAAAATAATAATTATGAGTATAATAATAATAATAATGTTAATAACAATAATATTATCATCAACAACAATAATAATAACAATAATCACTGCAACAAAATATCATCCTCATCCTCATCATCCATTTCATTGTCCATTTCTTGCTCATCAACCTTTACAAAAACAACAAGCACCACAGTAAAAACAGCATCGACAAAATCATCAACTTCATCATCATCGTCATCTGCTCCGATAACAGCAACAACCGGATTACCATCAAAATTAAGTCAACAACAACAAGCAAGAAGTAGCAAACAGCCAAAATACATTTTACAAGAAGATCCGGAAAGCCTTCAAGGTCCAAAAAAGAAGTTAGTTAAATCCAATTTAACCCTTAAAATACTACTTAGTATTGATGATGACGATGATGACATCATCCAGATTCAGTACAAGTGAATAGGAAAATAATTGTACCAAAAAAAAGATCAGACCCTTTCTTAAATGCCTTTCAAACTGCCCATCCATCTGTCATCTTCATCGTGCAACTCATCATACAACTGCTGTAAAAAAGGATGGACACACAACCTCTATGTTCAACCAATGAGAAAAACTAAACAAATAAATATATACGAGGCTTGAGTCTCAGGGTGTAACTACTCAAATTTCCGTTCACGTCAGATAACAATGGTTCTCCCAATCCTTTCCGCTTGATAGAGACAATAATATCTCAAATGACATTAGCACGCAAACAAAAACTTGTATTCAAATTTTTTTATCAATTGTAACTGAATTATGATTTCTTTTTTCTCTACAATCTGATGATTGTTGTGTAAAACTACATCCTAATTATTAATGATTATGTCTTTTCAATCTTCTAATGAACGCCTTAGCTTTACCCTTGGCCTACTTACCTTTACCTGATTATATTTAAATCTCGTCATCGGATCATTTACAAATCTCAATCATGTCTATCTTTCTCATTAGTGTTTTCCTCATCATTGAAAGATTTTTGTCAATATAATATTTAATTGTGTTTTTTTTCTCTCTTCTCTTCTTCTCATTCCATCATTCCTTAAATGTGATCATTCAAATTTCCTGAGGTCAAAGTGTTAAAAGACAAACAAAAATTGTATAAAAGAACGTGAAACAAAGAAAAGTAAAAAAAAATGAAAGTTTCATTAAACACTCCAATCAAAAAAGCTCACAACTCATTGTAAACATTGCAAATCACAAAACAGAACCAATCATTAAACTTTTTGCGATTATAATGAAAAAGATTACGATTCGGTTAAATTCTTTCACTCCTCTCATCATCATTATCATCACCACCACCACCACCACCACCATTATCATCATCTTCAATTATACCGAAATGAAGCCGAGTTCAGTTTAATACAAATCTTTAAATGCTTCATCGATTTTGGTGTTGAGTGTTTTATTACAATATCCAAACCTACACAATGCGAACCAAAAAACCCTTTATTCATCGTCAGTGCGCTTATCCTCACCAACAAACACCTTCATCAAACTGAGCTTCAATGTTAGAGCACAACAAACGCGTTTTCCCCCAAATCAATACCATCAAAAGGTACCAGAAAAAAAGACAACAATAGCAATAATTATTATTAAAAAGATGATAAGGGAAGGGTGATTTTGAATTTACCTTTTTAACCATTTATTTGGCTATTTTTTAATTCCTGTTCAATATTAATATTTACCAAAAGAAGATGAAAAAAAATCACCTTTTCTCCGTTAAAATTGATAACCATTTCTTCTTCTTCTTTCAATCATTGATTGTTGATAAAAAGGTAAACTAATAATAACGATGATCAACATTGATTAGGTATTTATATGTATTTATAAATGATTATTATTCCTTTGATAATTTACAAATCACTTTGAAATTCAGTTGAATTGACTATTCAAAAACCTTTACTTTCCATTACAAACAAGCAAACAAAAAACATAAACAACTCAACTGGTTAACTTAATTGTACAACAGTTTCTTTTCTCATCCTTAATCATCCTCTTAGCATTCAACAATACAATCAATTGTTGCTTTTATTCAAATGAATTCCTTTGATACCTTTTAACAGTAATTAACCGGATCAAAAGAGGCAAAAAAATCACCTTTAACCAATCTAATAACATCTCTCAATCAGCTTACAATAAGGTTAACCCGTAAACTACAGATTATTGGGAATGATTATCTGTACGAAAAGATTCAACACTTTCTTTTTTTAATGTTGATTATCAATTGAACATCAAATTGATAATCACATTTTGATATCATTGCTATCATCATCATCATGAATCATGATCATCATCACCAACATAATCACCATGATCAAGTGAAATCACGTTCAACAATCTTAATGTTATTGGTGAAAAGAAGAGTAAAAATCGAAGAGCAAAGCAAACCAGAAAATGGAATAGAATGAGAAAAAAAAGATTCATGAAATTTTCATGTTTCCCATTAAACCAGAATCATTATTGAAAACCTATTCTATTATTACCATTAATCCCAACCATTATCATAATTAATCACTAGCAAAATCACTCCCAAACCCATCCTTGATTCCCATACTTTAACATTTACAAATCTTTACCTTAACATGAAAAATCCATTTCATCCACTTCTTCCTTCTAGTAATAGTTTTCAATCTAAATTTAACAATTAAACCTTTTTCGACCAATTGTACACTAAACTATACAATAAACCGTACAATAAACTGTACAATAACCTCCAAATGAATCAACAATTAACCATTGTTTCCTGTTTACTCATTTAACTTGATTGTTATACGATATAACCAAGACTCAGTGTTGCGTGTTTACCTTTTTTTATTGTACCTTTTCTTCCCTCTTTACCCATTCACCATTCCTCAACAGGTTGACAATTTTAAACCTTATTATTAACTGTATTGCTTTCCCAATGTCAACTCATTTAGTTAAACATTCAACTGATTCCTTTGCGCTCAAAATTTCCAAATCTATTGGTAAACTTGCTAATCAACATTAAAGTCACATTTAGCATTTCATTACAATTAGTGTTTCTACTCTTTTTTTCACCACAAATTGTTGACATCATTTTCATTTTCATCTCTTTTCCTTTTTTCTTTATCATCAGATCATCTCTTCAGCTATTTCTGCACGTAAAAGCTCACTTCTTCCTCTTTTCAGTACCGTTTATTAAAATCATTGCAATTAACAGGTAAAAATTGTGTTTCGCATTTTAATCTTATCCAATCTCACGCTAGCCTTACAGTTGATCTTAATGAAGCAACACTGTTTGAGGTATATTTACTTTTAGATATTCAAATGTGTGTATTAAGATAAGTGATGAGATTAGATTATTAAAGTAATTAATTTACTCTCAATTTTTGCTGTTGGTTTGCCTTTGACGAGAACAGATTGTCTGTCGACAGGAAAGCGCGTTGTTACCTGTTGAACCGATTAATCGTCTATTTGACTGAAAACCATTTCGAGTGTTTGCCTTAACTCGCCTCTGTAAATTGATTGTTGACTCATTAGACAAGGTTGCCTTGTTTCTTCGTCTATTGGCTGGGCGTTTATCCTGTCGATTGGAAACTTTTGATCGAGCTAATCGTCTCCTTGAGTTACCTTGCAAGTATAACGATGTTCCTACGACAAAATGATTAAATGATGATTAACATTGATTCTAGTTTAACCAGTTTTCAATGAACAATGTAAACCTTCTTACCTGGGTTACCAGTTACTCTATCAATGTCAGTTGGTCTTTCAAAGGCTTTCGGGTTATTTTGGTTTCCTGGTGATGAAGTAACTTGAAATGGGTTGGCAATGCTAGGAAACGATTGAGAAGAAGGAAAATTAATTCCAAAATTATTTCCATTGATTAATTGACTATCGGGTGATCCAGTCGATGGTCGAGTGTTGGGTCTAGAAGTACTCGTTCTATTAGGCCTTTGATTTGGTGAAACTTGAGATTGGTTCGGTATTGCTGGACCATTAATAGCTTGTTGGTTTGGAGGGTTCGGAGGAGTACCAGATGAACCAGGGGAAGGCGCTGCACCAGAAGATTGTCCAGTTCCTTGTCCAGGCGTTTGTCCCGGCGCTTGAGGCTGAGCTGGCGAATCTGAGTTTTGATCATTTCCCTGGTTGTTTGAAGGATTGTTTATCACAACAATTGGTCGTTGGTTAAATCCTGATGTTGTAATTGTTACATTTGCTCCTCTTACCACAATCACAGAGTTTAGTTGCTTGAGACAAGGCAAAAGAAGACAGAAAATTAAGGGACTCAAAAGTTCTGATCGCGATAGGGGAAAATCATCGGGTAAACTTGTGTTCATGATGAATAATTGATTTTCAAAGTGTTCTCTTATCAACTGTAATCATGTGAATTGTTATCCCAACAATTGTTATCTCATTTTGTTACAAGATTATTCTCAGAGTGAGAGGCTGATTTTTGTCAAAGGAAATTGAACTTTAAAACGACCCAACAGATTATTGCTGCTCCGATTCATGATCAAAGAAATGAACAAAGAAAAATAATGAATAACAATTGAAATGAAGTTAACCTTTGAAAAAGCTTTCATTTTTCAATTTAACACTAAACCCAAAACCAACAATAACCAGAGATAATTTTTGCACCTTTTCAATTGAATCTAAATGTAAATCAAATTTACTTTTCACATTTTTACTCTTGAATATTATTCCAGGTCAACTGTTTACTTTCTATGAGCATTTAACTAATCATCTTTTATGGTCAACAATTAACTGTAACCATGATTAGTAAAGCATTCATTTAAACCAACCCAATATCAATCATAATGTAAACCTTCCATAACTCATTTGGAAAAGTAAAGGTTGAGAAAAGTCCGCAAGCCTTAACAGTCAAAGTGATCAATGGCAGACTCAAGTAGAGACAGAATCAAATTCAATGTTGATCACAATCAACTGATTCAGTTTTTCCATCTCAATCAATTTATTGGTAAACTTTTGCACTCAATTTGCTGACTCCAAACTGATTCAATTGCGTGCTGGATAATTACATTAAAGTATTGTAAAAATAATGTTAAAATAAGCTCTTTTTTCACTGTTGCTCCTCAAATGAAAGTAAAAATTGATTACAAATCATATTATTAGCCTGATTGTTTCATTTTCACAATTTAAACAGCCGTTTACAATAAACTTAATTCATTACATACGATTGATGTCAAGGTTGATCTCAATTAGGTGCAAATTGAAAGCAACAGACTAACAAGAATAGTAAAAAAAAGGTAAATAAAAAGCAAAATAAACAGCAAATTGATTGGAAAATGGTAAACTCGTAATTTAATATTCATTGGATCATTAATAAAGTGTAACAATAATTGAGTAAAAAGCTGTAATTAACTCTCATTATGATGATAATACAGTTAATTGTCATTTGGTTATAAAACCAGGAACAGTGTTCAACTCAAATTTCAATGTTAACCAACTCTATGGTAACGAAGCAGATTATTGATTCCCACTCAACAATTGCTTGACATTTTCCCATTCAATAATACCTTTAGCTGATTAACTGTTCAACCAAATTAAGAGTGAACCTTGATTAGCAGACATTTCACTATTAAGATGTAATTGAAACCATTTACGCTTTTAAATCTTATTGTTATAAGACCAGAATGGTTGAAATACAATCAAGGAAACAATGTTTGTCTCTTCAATTAACCTTAAGAAAGATGAGCAAAAATTCAACCATTTTCAATGTTTTGTTACCCAAATTAACCAGAAAAATTTGAACAATCATAAGAAACCCAAAAATGTGTAAAATTATTATACAAATGGTGAAGCATGATTACAATGAGCTTTGATTAACTGTTTCAAGCCATTATTGAGCTTTGAAGGCTTCTAATTATGACTACAGATGCAAGTTAACAATTAACAATTGTAATAAACTAAAATAACCTTAACCATTGTAATATAACTTTGTAATAACAATTTGTTTGCTTTTCAATTGTAGGACAGTTAATCTTTGTTTAAATCATCATTAACAGGTTTAACCTGGCTTAAGGCTTTAAATTGACCAGAAGTTATCATTTACATGATCGCAACACTGAATGCGTTAGGAACAAATAAAGAATCTTTCTTCTTCTTCTTCTTCTCCTGTTGGAACTCACAAATGGAACCAGAAAATGAGGCAAAAAAAGCATTTATCATGATTGCAATAATTAAAATGATTATAATGATTATGTTGATGAAGATGAAACATTAGTTGATATATAAATTCATAGTTGAAACCAACAAGAAACAACTAAAAGTCAAACAGAGATTGAGATGAATTTGGATTAGATTGGAATGAATTTCGAGAATCAAATGATTATTATTATAACCTGTTTATTTCAACTTTCATGTTCCTATTATAACATGAATCAAATTAAGTCTACTTCCTCAATTGTGACCAGTTACCGTATAAGAAAAGCACTCGGCTTGAGCAAAGCGCAAACCCATCTTCAACTGATCAACTTAACAGCTCCAGAGGAGCAATTAATCAAACCAACTGATCAACCGATTAACAGTTTAACCAATTTGTCCATTTGGTCGACATTACTCAACTGTCTCTAATAGCAAATATTCAAAGTGAATCTCCATGAAGACCAATGACTGATATTGTGAAGAAAATTTCAACCAAATTCTTTATTCGATCAATTTTGAAATTTTGATCGACTCTCGCTAATTGGCAAAATCAAAGGCCTAAGAGGCCATTTAGGTTTACATGTTAACCTTTTAAGGCAACCTTGTTCATTGGAGTGAAGACTTGCACAGTCGATGAAATTGAACGATTCTTCAGCCATGGAATGTTGAACATTTTTTGTTACAATTTTTGCTCCTTTTCCCAGTAAAATTTGAAATGAATATTTTCTGACCTTATTTAGACCGTAAATTGAATGAAGATATTTTTAATTTAACCTTATTCCCTACACTTTCATTGAAACCTAAAGGTATCTTAAATTTCCAGGAAACCTTTGCATAAACCAATTGTTACTGAATGTGTCTCAGGGAAAAATGTGTTAAAGAAGAAGATTTAGGAAATAGATTTGAATTTATAATCATTTTCAAATTAGTCAGTTAATTGATTATCTGGTTGAAAGGCTGGCAAATGAGCGTGAATTGGGAAAACTGGTCCAAAATGACTGAAAATTGTCTCATTATCTTGACTCATCCTTTTTTAAACACTCTTAACACACTCGGCTTTACCTTTCAATTTACAAATTGCAATAGCACAACAATCATTTTAATGAGACACAATTTGGTGACAACAAACACTGTTTCCATTTGAATTTACCATTTGATTGTAAGATTGCGTGAAAAAGCTTGTCAAAAATGCTTCAACTCTATTGACGTCTTCAATGAAAGCGTCTTTGAAATAAACGGCAAAAAGCAATTTTAAAGTCAAAAGTTTATCGACAGTTAACAATTCAATTTCACTTGATCCAGCTAATTGAGAGACGTTAAGGACTCAATTGAGTACATCTAAACGATATTGACTCAAGATTTGAAAGATTAAAACCAGTTTCATGAAAGAAACATCAAATCAGAAAAGATATAATATTTCAAGAAATTCAAATTGATAACATGAAACAGTCTAGGACATTTGAGCTTTCATTTTCAGGAGAGAAAAAGAAGAAAATCATTCAAAAGAAATAATTTTTCAAGATTAATGTTGATTCAGGTTAAGATTCATTACAATTTCACTTGATAATCACATGTTCAACCATGAACAACATTTTAAATTGAATAATATTCAATGTAATACTTGTCAACCTTTTTGTTGTACTTGTATTTGTACTAACACAATATCAATAATCTGGTTTGTTGACATTTATCATGATTGAATAGCAATTTATGAATCAATGTTTCTATCCTAACAATTATGTCTACATGATTGAAGGTTAACATTGAGGTAAACCAATGTTTTAATAGATGACATTAAAATGATTAATACAATTTGATTTGTAAATTACCAGGTTGACCAGGAAAAAGCAAATTGAAATGTTTTCAATTATTGTCTTTGTGGTTAACCCAAAACCTAAAAAGCTAAACCTTAAAGCACAACATCAGCTGCCAATTGACTGTCTTTCAATAATTGATCAACAATTAATTGATCTTAGTCAATGAATTGTCCCAAAATTGATTGGAGCAATTAAAAGATTCTAGTCGAGATTCATCTTTGATGGGAAATGGTTAAAGTAAGAAAGGTAAACTTGCTTGAAATATTGAAGGGAAAGTAAAGATAATCATCTTTCAATCAACTCCAGTTCAATATTAATTTTTATTATAATACTGATAACCCGAATGTTAATTTCACGTTCAATTTATCTTCCTATCAATTGTTCAACTTGATTCATCACAATCATGATTAGTTAACCATTTAATTCACTGTAAAATTGTCACAAATTTCACCTTAAAATTATCCAACGTTAAGTCATTGATAGCAATTGTTGAAATAACATTGACCTTTCGGTTAATCAATGATATTAACAAAATCAGCTTCATTGTTACAATTATTGGTTATTGTAATAATGTTAATCAGTTGGTTAAGAGATAATTTCAATGAAATTTCAAGAGGCAAACCTTTTCCATTAATTAAGTAATTACGTTGAAAAAATTTACTAACATCATTCCAGTCTTTCTGCTAATTACTTTATTAGTTGATTTGGTTGGTTTAATGGTTCTCAATTGGTTAACAGAAAATTTGTGATTCTAATTAAACTGATTAACGCTTAACTTGGTCAGTTAATTTTTAATCATTAAACGTGTAAATTGACGTTTAATCAGCTTTGGGTTAATGTGACCAGAAAATATTCATTGATTGGGTTAACTTTGAAAGGTTGAAACAAAGTGATTCTGGTTACGGAAGTAAACCTTTCATATTAATCACATTCAAATGTAAATTGTAAAATGTTAATTTAACCTTTTTTTTATTGAAGGCCATTTAATTGTTATTGTAAAACAATTTACATTAGTCGCCATCTTTTTACAATCAATATTATTACAGGTTTGCTTCAATTGTGATTTTTGTTCAATGTTTTTATTTTTGCCATTCAATTGAAATGTAACTGGTAAAAGTCAACCGTATTAAGACGTTTTTGTGAATCAAATTGACCTCTGCTGATTTGGGTCGTTAGTGTGACTAATTCATTGAATTGTTGCCAATTAGTTGTTATTTGGTTAATCAAATAAGATGTAAAAGCAACTTGAACAAGCAAATAAAATTGTACGATGGATTCAGATGGAACCAGGATAGCCAAGATTTAGGCCTTCATTTCAATTAAAGGGTTTTCCTCTTCAGGTGAGAGTTCATTTTATAATGGGTGAATGAATTTACTAAATTAAATTGCTAAGAATTGAATAGTTGAAAGACCGTTTAAGTAATAAAAATCATTTATCGTCATATTTTTTAGTTTTTCAAAAAAAGCGCGCTACAAATCAGCTCATTGATTCACAGGATTTCAATTTTTTTCATTTACTTTTGCAATTTTTCAATTGTTATGGAGTTAAATTGGTCAGAATTAACACTTTTCATCCGTTAAACATTAAGGTTAAAGTTTAAAATGTCCAATGTTTCCTGATCTTGTGATATTGTCATATCTCGCTTTTTTATATCAGTCTTTACTGGTTATTTGCATGGTTGTTTGTAGATGGTATGGTTTGTAATTTGAACTGGTATTCAGTTCAATCAGTTAACAATGTACAATATTTAAGGCTAACTTAACAGCTGAGCGAATCAAATAATGATAATACCAAAGCTTGGTGATTCCGATCAGTAAAATGGCCGAATCTGTTGAGACCTTATTACACTTTCCCTCTACTTTTTCATTGCATTTATTGAATGTAACATATGTAACATATGACAAGGTTGACTCATTAGGGACTAGCTTAGCTACTGTTGATCACTCTTAGCCTTTCAAAGAGTCTCTTTTTACACTTGAAAACAATTTAGTTTTATTTATTAATGTACTTTATAATTATGTACCTTTTAAAGAGTTGAAACTTGGAACAAAAAAATACTGAAAAGTGAAAAATATAGAAAATAGCGTGAAAATGTGTATGAGTTGTGTTTTCAAGCCCAGTTTGCTTATATTGCATCATCCTTTTTTAACCCGGTAAATTTGATCAGTGAACTGATTTTAATTTTGTTGTTTTTATTTTAATTATTTTTGTTATTTATGCATCATGAGAGATAAAATAATTGCTCTTATTGACATGGATTGTTTTTATGTTCAAGTTGAACAAAGAGCTGATCCACAATACTGGGGAAAGCCTTGTGCTGTAGCTCAATATAATCCATGGAGAGGTGGAGGGTAAGTACACTTTGTTTGTATACCTTTTTTTCTGGTATTTTTGTGCTTTGTAAATTATTAATTATCATTCATTGTTACTTTGTTACATTTAGTATAATTGCTGTTGGATATGAGGCTCGTGCTTTCGGTGTTAAAAGAGGATTTCGTGGTGATGATGCCAAAGCTGTTTGTCCTGATATACATATGTTTATGGTTGAAGAAGAACGTGGTAAAGCTAACCTCAGTAAATATCGTAATGCTTCTATTGAGGTGATGAATGTTATTTCATCTTTTAGTCCACTTATCACTGTTGAAAGAGCTTCTATAGATGAAGCATTTCTTGATTTAACACAATATGTTGACTCGATTGCATCTAAGCCGAACTGGGATGAAATTGAAGGTACTCGTATCGCTGGTTTAGCAGACGCAGGATTCCAAGGGAAGGATTTAAATGAAATTGAAGCAGCCAAGCTGAAACACTTTTATGAAGGAGCTACATTATTTAGTAACGAAGAAAGACTGTTGATCGGTGCCTCAGCTGTAAAACAGATTCGTGCTGCTATTTTACAAGACACTCAATTCAAATGTTCCGCTGGAATCAGTCATAACAAAACTCTTTCCAAATTAGCAGCTGGAATGAACAAACCAAATTGTCAAACAATTTTGGCTTATTCTGGAGTGCCTAAAATTTATGAAAATACACGAATTGATAAAGTTCGTAATCTGGGTGGAAAATTAGGTGATGAATTGAAAAATAAACTCGGTATAACAACAATGGGTCAATTGGCTGCGATTCCTAGCGCTCATTTAACGTCTCTATACGCTGGTAAAACATTGAATTGGTTAATGAATTTAAGAGAAGGTATTGACGAAGAGGCTGTTGTAGCTCGTCAAATTCCTAAATCAATTGGATGTGGTAAAAATTTTCCTGGTAAAAGTTCATTATCTACAAATGAGCAGGTTACGCATTGGTTTGGACAACTATGCGGAGAGCTTGTTGAAAGAATAACCGAAGACCGAGAACGGAATAAGCGCACTTCTAAATTATTAACTGTTCACATCAAATTTAATACGAAAGGTGATATATCCAAATCTCTACCTATGCATGGAATGACTAGTGAAAGAATGGTTGAATATATAACCAAACATGTTCTCTCCAAATATATGAAAGAAGATGGTTCAATGATTGACCCGATTGTTAGAGCTAGTGTAACAGCATCAAAGTTTGTAGATTCAGATTTAACTTGGAGAAATGCTAAACTGGAACAATATTTTCAAAGAGTGGACAAACCCCAACCTGGAAATACTGAGGAAATTAAGCCGACCCCCAGCACTTCTGGAGCTGAAAATGATTCTTCCACATCAACCACGCGAGCAGAACCAGATTTTAATAATTATCGAGACCTTCCTTTTGCTAGTAATTTATTCCCGTCAGAATCAAATGGAACTACTATCTCAACCGACTCAATTGAACCTAATCAAGATCCTCGATCATCTCCAAGGAATTATGCATCCACTAGAACTAATCAAGTTAATGAAAGTGATAATTCTAATGATTCAAATCTAGCAGCTTTATTTGCCCGATTTAGTGATCAAAATGATTTTAATAGACCGACTGTCAAAAGAGGCTTCTTTTATCGTAAAACTTTAGAGTTGCAGAAAAAACGTAGATTAGAAAAAGGAATTATAAGAAGAAAATCTTAGACAGTTAGAAATTTATTAACTGTGATCAATTTTATATGTTATATATTTTTTTGTAATATATAAATATCAATGTTTTAATATTTAGTTTTTATTCAAGTTTGTGAATTTCATCTAACTGCGTGAATTCGCCCTTTCAAAACGGAGCCTTAAACCGGTGATTGGACACTTTAAGTAATCCGAGTTGCAGTGTTACAATTTAAATGAGGATCATCAAAAAATCAAGCGGAAGCACATGTTATGATTAAGATCCAATATAATACGATATAATGAAGTGAAGAGGACTTTTCAAATCAATGATCACATGACTGATGATGGAATGGTTAATTATATTTTTAAAAAAGACCTTTCCAAACATGTCACATCAAATGGTGCTATAATTGAACTATTGGAGTCCAAGTGCGTCAAAGTTTGTCAACAGCAACAGTAATCGGATAAAATTTAAAGTGGATGAATATTTGCCGTTATTATTTTACCACGTTGATGAAACACGTCCACCAAAAACAGACAAACATCAACTCAAATTAATCATGAGACAAAATTTCAAAATCTGACCAAGTATTACCTGCTATTACAATGGAAACAATTTCAGGCGATGATCTTGCTCTCATATTTTATCATTCAAAAGATTTAGGTTATCGGTTTTTCAAGTGAACATAATCTTCAATCCTCTCCATATAACTGAAATTTTAAAAATACTTGCTAAAATTAACAATGGATTGATTAAAGTAACGCTATTTTCCGAAATAACAAATTAGAAAATTGAAATGAAATGAACATTCCATTCGAGTACAAAAAAGATTTACATTTGATTGTGAAGTCTCAGAATTACAAGTTATTAAAATGTGACTAAAGAAACATCACAAATTTAAACAATTGAATTTTATCAAATGACACTTATTTTATCTATTTGTTATTGTTCAATTTTAATTTTGATGAAAAATAAATTTCATGTTAACTTTTCATGTAAATTCATAAAAACCTCCAACAATTTTTTGACTCCGAAAGACTCCGCCCAGAATCTGACTGACACAAAGGCAATCAATTCCTCTAGTCTTGGTAAAACATTTCACATCAGCATTAAAACAGCATCTTCAACTGGAAGATAGATTATTGACTAATACCATGTCTGAATCTTCTGTCTTCATGTCACCATCACTCCATCAACAACCTCCCCTTTTAAATTAGTGCCTGACTGTTTTATTCGCTTTCCCATTAAAATGATCACTTCTTAATGCTTAATTGTTTGTTTCTTTTTTTTGTTTATTAAATTTTACTTTTTTTTATTTGTATTTTTTCCTTATTATTCCATAGTTGTTTACCTGAACATTCCAAGTCAACATTCCTATACTTGAAATTATATTGTTCCAACTCTTCACCTTTCTTCCAAAACTATTCATTTGCAAGCAAAGCAACGTATTCTAGTTAATTTTTCCAGTTTTCGCATTTATTTTTATTTAAATTATTTTTTTGGTGCAAAAGACGTAGTGACAACAACAGCAACAAAATTACTACATTACCATCTTCATCATTTTCATCTATTTATCACACCATCATTCTATCGCATTCATTGAAACACAATCATTCAGCCATGGATTTGCCTCTGGTCAACATTACTGGCGATATTACATTTTCATTGCAATCTGGTCTGATTCGGGATGAAGTAAATATTAATACAAGTAAACTTAATCTCAAAAGTCTAAAGGATCTTGCCTGTAATTTTATTGACAAAAAGTATCCCGAACATGGTCTCAACAAGCTAGACGAACGTCTCATGCTGTTTAAGCATGAATATAGCTCAACAAATATGCTTTTACCGATAAACATTGCTTCCGAGGTTACAAATGGTTCCTTAATAGAAGTTGTTGTATCTTTAAAAGATCCTTCCAATAACGATGAGCTCTCCATACGGCCTCATCATCTTAAAATGCACTCATATATGTCGCCCACTTTTTGCGATTTTTGCGCGAAAATGCTATTTGGTTTAGTTAAACAGGGACTCAAATGTGAAGGTTGTGGTCTTAATTATCACAAAAAATGTGCCTACAAGATACCCAATAACTGTATCTACGGAAGCCGTCGTCGATCCTCAGCCCATCTTATTCCCAATTCACCAACAAATGAAACGGTCCAGAGGACAGCAAGTAGTGGAGCAACCTTACCAGAGGCACCGTCTTTCCTTTCCTCCCCCAGCCATGACCGTCGTGCTTCTGCGGGTAATGAGAAAAGCTTTAGTTTGACCGTCAAGCCAAATCGTCTCGATAAAAGGATTGCCGAAGGGATGAGGATACCTCACACTTTTGTTGTTCATTCGTACGTCAGTCCAACCATTTGCCAATGGTGCAAGAAACTATTGAAAGGGATAATCCGGCAAGGTTATCAATGTAAAGATTGTAAATTTAATGCCCATAAAAAGTGTATGAAAGATATACCATCAACCTGTACCGGTGAGATTCCATCCGATTATGGTGAAGGTGAGGATAGCCTGGAAAAAGATACTCTCAGTGATTCAGATAATGAAACGGAAAGTCCAGAAAAACCTAGGAGTATTGTTACAGACGATGATGACAATGAAAGTGACAATCAACCCATAACGTAAGTAATTTAATCTTCCCTATTTTATCCAGTTGTTATTGCTCTTATCTCATTATTGGTGTTCAACAAAATCGTCCTGATAACAGCAAGAAAAAAAAGAACAGGTTCATTCGTCTTGTACTTGTATTCAGTAACATTTAATGAAGATAGTCTTGATAGATTGATACCTCTTCGCTTATTTACCTTCCTTTCCTCCACACCCTGGAAACATGGGAATAAGGAAGAAAGTAAAGTTGATGAAAATGATAGCAATATTGGAAAATACAGAGAGAAGGTAAACATTTCCGAAATGAGTTGCCATCATCATTTAAACTGAACATTTGTCTTTTCCACGGAAAAACTGCGAAATCTAACAATTTTCTGAGTAAATTGAGAAGAAAAAAAGAAATAAGAAAAACTAGGAAAAATGGAAAGTGAAACCCGCGAGGCTTTTCATGGTAAATACAAAATACTTTTTTTCCCTGCTACAAGCAAAGCACCGTCTGAACTTTTTGTTTTATTTTTCACAATTTCTCTCTGATTAAAAGGGTCCAATTGCTCCTCAAGAGTATTATTATTTTCTTGTTTTCCCGTCACATTAAAGTTAATACACATCAAAGCTCGAGAGCATTGAAAAACAACAAAATCAAGCAAGTTGAATTAACGCAATTACAGAGAAGCAAAATGGAAGCAAATTCAGTTGTTTAACTCGTTCAGTAAACAGAGGAAGAAAAGGTTAACTGTTTTACCTTTTGTTTATTTCTCATTAGATTTTTCCACTTACGGAATTAATTGAGATTAAAGTATAAGAATTAAATTGAGAAGAATGAGATTCCATTGGAAGCAAATTAAAGAAGCTAATTAATTTTCTACCCTTCACCTAGAGTTACCATGAAAAAAAGTAGAAACCCAATTTCAATTTGTTATTATTAGATTATTATGATTGTTGCAATTGTTATCATTTTATTGCCTATGATATATATATTCATGTAGGTTGTATTGAGATGATGTTTGGTTACACTCCTGGATAATGACGATGGTTATATGATAATGAATATAAACCATTAAAAGAGTTACTTATCTTTGAGAAAAAAACAGAGGTCAATTGGTAATTAACGGTTAATAATAAAGCGTCATTCATACCAACATTTATCATGTCAATTACACTCAGTAATATTAACATGATTATAATCATCATCTTCATCTCTCAACAATCACCAGCAGCGTTTATATTAGTCTGTTACCTTTGCTTCGCCATCAACTCTCATGAAATTAATTTACAATATTTTCCTCTCTCTTCCCTTCCAAACCTTTCATGATCAGAACTCTCAGAGCAACATCAATTTCTTTGAACCATTTTTCATTTACGATTATTTGTTGATTCACCCAACAATAATCCCACAATTTTAGGCTATCAATTAATTGCTCGTTCATTTGTCAAACAAAATCCTCTCAACATTTATGAGTGAAAATGCTTTTCATGAAATCCATGTTTTTGGCTACAGAATTACAGATTCTCTGTTTAGTCTCAATTTATAAATTATTATTACATTTACTCACCTTTTTTTATCTATTTCATGATTCGTTTTGTTCATCATTTGTTGCTGTTTGCTAATACACTTTTACGAGTAAACAGTTTACTCTTGTTTACTATTAGTTGTTATGTGTGTTGATCGAGATAAAATGGATTACAATTGTCACTTCAATAAATTGTTAGTTAGCGTGTTTCCCTTTACCATCATGGCAGCTAAACATTGTTCAAAGTATCGCAATTTGTTCATGAATAATTTTATTTCTGTACCATTTCTTTAGGTTAAAGGTTATGCTTAATCCAACTTTTCCCATTTTCCTCTTTTATTTTCATCTGCAGCCTTTCCAGATTCAGTTATAGTGCAATTGCTATTGACTTAATTTAATATTAGCTTTCACTTAGATCTCTCCAATATATTCATTCAATTTATCATTTCATTGTTATTTCCTGCAATTTTCTTTCGTTTTATGAATTAATCAGAATAATTCATTTGCTTATAAAGATATAGTAATAATCATCAATGGCAATCAATAATGAAAAGATGAGATTAAACATATGGCAACTGTTGAAAGCTTTTATTTGTATAACTGTAATGGTATGTTTATATTCAAAAGTTATCTATTCTCACATGAATTCTTATTCCAAGTCTTATTACAATGTATATTACAAAATTTCAATTCTGCAAAAATCTCTACAGTTGCCTCGACGATAAGTTGACCCAATGTAAATGAAGCTGCATTAAGAGGTTGAAAGAGTTTCAATTTTGCCATTAAACTTGAATCACAATTGATGTCAGATTTTCTGAAAAATGCCATCAAAGAATAATTTTCAAGCTTTAAAATCAATATCTTAATCAGTCTATGGAATATATTTTCAACAAAATTTATTCAAAAGCATTTTCAGGCAAAGAAACGACTTCAAAGTATGCTCGAGGTTTTGAACAAAACGTGAAGTAAATGAGGCTCAATAGCTCTGCATTTCGCACATCAAAGTAGCTTCGAGACAATGTAGTAAAGATGAAAATAATTTAACCTTTTGATATGAAAAAGTGAATTTGAAACTTGAATTTATTGAATCTTGAGATGTTTTTAATTAGATTTGAAAGGTTTTTAAAATATTTAGGAATAAAATTGATCGATGAAAAGTCCATATTTTAACATGATAATGGTTAACTTAAAGTTTGCTAAAAGATAGCTTTTACTTTGTATTTTAAAGTTTAATCAAAGAAAACCAGAAGATTCAATTATTGTGTTCCTTCATGCATTTTTATTCACAGTTTCAGATAATCGGTGTTGATTCTGCTTGATTTAATGAATAAACAAGCAACTTGAAATGAAATGCAAATTGATTTTAGCTTAATGTTAACATTAGACTTGACAAAACTTGGTGATGAACTGAAAAATTTAGTAACACTCATTAAAATCTAATGAGATATGGTTGAAGCCTAGGAATCAGAAATCAAGGCTAACTGAGTCACTTTAACAAACTCACCTGAACTTTAACTCTTACATAAAATGGTTAAATTATTTTACCTGAAATGACTAGCTTCTGATATCTTTTGCAGTTTATTGCAGCAAAAAGCCTGAAATTTAATGTTCAATGTTATTGTAATATTTACATGTTTTCTGTTATTCTTAACTAATCTTAACATGATGTCTACAAGAACCTTTTCTCAATAGTAGCTGAGTATTTCTTGGAAATCATCAACAACAATAGTCAATGAATTTTTCTTCTTCTTCTCTATCTTACTTCATAATACCTTTCGATCAAGTAATCTAACCTGTTAGAGATTGTTAATATTGATATTTATCCAGACTCTTGAAGATGATGGTGGGTCATGAAAGAGACAGAATAAGAAGAGGAAGATGATTAGAATCATGAAATGAAAAGAGTAGAAATGAAAATAAATTATAGACACTTGTTTAGTCTTGCCCTGTCGATCACTCAATGATGAATTTTCAGATATTATTCATGATGATGGAAGAATGTAAAAGATGAAGAGTAATTTGTTGACTCTAAATTATTCTTTTATTGTTAATAAAATTTATTACAACCTTAACAAACTATTTTATTATTATTTATAACCTTCACTGATTCCTTTCATCAATTTTTTCCAGAAATTTTTGATCTTTTTTTTGCTTCTCTCTATTGAAAAATATTGAAAGTCAAATGACTTCAATTTTCAATGTTTTGCCATGTCAAGTCAAATTATGCACCAGATTTTCATCAAAATGTTTCTTATGTATAAATTTGGAGATTTTTTTCTCTTCTTCCTTCATCGAAACTTCATTAATCATTTCATAAAATGGATTCACAATTTTCATGTAACAAAATAAAATATTGATTGATTGTCTTCTTGTTTTCATTTACAGTTCCACTGAAAGTAATAACATTCCTTTGATGAGGATTGTCCAGAGTGTCAAGCATAATAAAAGAAGAGGTTCAGAAGTAATCAAGGAAGGTTGGATGGTTCACTTTACAAGTAAAGATTCAATGGTAAATTGAAGCAAATTGAAGCAAATTGTTTAAATTGTTGAACATATTTTTACTTTGTTTATTAGAATCAACAAATTGACTAAAAAATTTCCTTTTATTGAATTTCTTTTTACAGAAAAAACGCCATTTCTGGAGACTGGATACAAAAGCAATCACAATGTATCAAAATGAAAATTCATCCAATTATTATCGTGAAATCATTCTCTCTGATATTCTGTCCATTTTTCCTTCCAAAAATGGTGACTGTGGCTTTGAGATGCGCACCACTCACCTTAATTACTATTGCGGTGAACCGGGTACCGCTACAGCCTGGGAATTGGCCATTAGACAAGCGTTGATGCCAGTGGCGGATAACAAGGCAATCACATCAATCAAAGAAACTGATGCATTCAATAGAGTTGGTTTACATGCAGGTGAAAACCGTGTTCAAACGGACAACGACATTTCCCTTCAATATCAAATATTTCCAGACGAAGTTCTTGGCTCGGGTCAATTTGGTATTGTCTATGGAGGTGTTCATCGGATAACGCGTAGAGCGGTTGCCATCAAAGTAATTGATAAATCACGTTTTCCAACCAAGCAAGAGGCTCAATTGAAAAATGAGGTTTCAATATTGGAAAATCTTCACCATCCAGGAGTTGTAACGTTGGAAAAGATGTTTGAAACCAAGGATAGAATCTATGTTGTCATGGAAAAATTGAAGGGTGACATGCTTGACATGATTTTACACACTGAAAAGAAGAGGCTAGATGAGCGTGTAACTAAATTCTTGATTTACCAAGTAAGAAGCGTTGTCAAATAATCTAATCATTCATTATTTAGGAAATGCATAACGCCCATGATTTGACTCTTATTGACCTTAATATTTACTCGGAAATACCTGAAAACCCCCTTGAAACTCTGCTTTATTTATCCTTTTGTTTCCTTTTCAACAAACTCTTTTCTTATATCCACTTACATCTTGATGCGTTCTATAAATCTCTAATTTCTTTTCCATTTCTTCTTTTCTTCCCAAACAGATTTTAATAGCTCTTAAACATCTTCACTCACAAAATATTGTTCATTGTGACTTGAAACCTGAAAATGTTTTGCTCTCGTCCGATGCTGATTATCCTTTGGTAAGTATTTGGGAAACTGAAACAACAAAAGAAAAGATGATAAAATAATGACGATTTTTCTTGAACATCTTTAGCTTTCTCCGGTGTTTTCATATTAACAATTAGTTTCACGCTCAACCTACGAGCCATTGACCCAGTCACGCTAATCATTTGATGATTAGTTAAATTTTCAGAATCATGATGTCATTTCTTTTGAAAAGACTAAATTTTGGCTTCCATTGTAAAATGATTGATTATTTCCTCTTAATAATGAAAACACTGCTATTGTTAAAGTATTACATTTCAAGTTTTATACATTTCATTATCACTCTACAATCAATTTTGAGCAGAAAATCTAATTGTAACGCTTTTTTTATTGGCCTCACTTTACAGGTTAAATTGTGTGATTTTGGTTTTGCTCGTATTATTGGTGAAAGATGTTTCCGTCGATCAGTTGTTGGAACACCGGCTTATCTTGCCCCTGAAGTGATCCGTAATAAGCGTTATAATAGATCATTAGATATGTGGTCGGTTGGTGTCATCGTATATGTTAGCCTCAGTGGAACCTTTCCCTTTAATGAAGAAGAAGATATCAACGATCAGATTCAGAATGCAGCTTTTATGTATCCTAATGATCCATGGAAAGAGATCTCAGCTGAAGCAATTGACCTAATCACCAATTTGCTTCAAGTTAAATCAAAGAATCGTTACACTGTCGATAAATCTTTATGTCATCCTTGGTTAGAGGTGTGTAAACTCATTTCACTAATTATGCACATAAATTTTGATTTAATTGAAGTCATTTTTTGCTATTTTAAACTAAATCTTTTCTATTATTCCTAGGATTATCAAACTTGGTGTGATTTACGAGACTTAGAGAAACGAATGGGCCAACGTTGGTTAACTCATGAATCTGATGACGCTCGATGGGAATCTTATGGACGCCAGTCTAATCTTTACAATAATTATCGAGGCAATTTCACGTCATCTTCATCTAAAGAGTTCAGGTCTCCTTTACCAGAAGAGTTAGGAAACAACGAATCAAGCAGTGATTATGGTTATAAAAGTGATTCTTCCGATACAAAACGCAATGGTGCCAATCCAGATTTTATTAATGACTTAGACAAGTTACGATAAACAAAAAATAACTGCTCAAAGTCAGTTGAAAAAAAGGCAATCAACAAAAAAAAACTAATTAAAATAATAACGTGTGCTTAATTGAGATTCAACTGAATATACAATGTGTTATAAAACGGATGCTTGTTGATTTTAAATGCACTCTTGCAGCCAATCTTTCATTCATCGACAATTTAACTTTACAAAGGTGCTGAACAATTCAAAATTGCAAACAAAAGTCTTGATAGTGATACGTTAAAAAATTACCAGCCAAAAATGACTTTTTCAATTTGTTTCGTTTTTCGTATTCAAGAAATAAAAGCGTCTGTACCCTGAGAATGTGAGCTTTGAAAATGACTTCGCCTATTTTTCCTATCCAGACTTTTTAATATCTTGTATTGTCATCCAAAAATTGAATTAAAAACAAGAAACACTACACAACAAATCATGCTCTTATCTCACAAACTCAACGGAAATGGTAAAATGGTTTAATATCTGTTTTGATGAATGGCAAGATTAACGAAACGGTTGAAAATTGACGTTCACACGCTAAAAAGGATAATCAACAACCTCTACAATATTGAGAGAAAGTTTAAACATTAAGCATTCGTTTTATAACACACTGAATAAATGTGTAAACAATTTATATTTATAAATGACTTGGGTTCTATTCAACCTTAATCAAAATATGTTTTTATTTCTTTACCTCATTGTTTAAATATCTTTTCAAACTAGACTTACTGTTTATAACAATGAAGTCTGAGCGTTCATATTACCAAAGATCTAGTTTTAATCCAGACTTAACAATTTTAATAGTTGACTCCACTCCATTTGAGTAGAGAGATAGAGACCAATTGAGTAAATATCTTGCCTTCACAAATAGCGATCGAAGTAATATCTATTAATATCTGTTTTGCTAAATGGCAAGATGAAAGAAACGGTTGAAAATTGAGGTTCTCGCGCTAAAACGGAAAATCAGCAACCTCTGCAATATTTAGAGAAAGTTTAAAGATTAAGCAAAACAAGTATCCTTTACCAGAAGAGTTAGGAAACTCATTATGATGCAGTGGTTATGACTATCCACTCTGTTTCATAAGTATAGCACGCATGAAATTTGGTTAATTTTATGAATTTTTACTCATCAAGTGAGTTATGGATTGACTTACAAAGGGACTTGTAAGAAAGATTGTTAGAAAGGGACTAATTGTAAAAGTGATTTTTCGGATTCAACGCGGCTTAAGATTTTATCGATGACTTAGTCAAGTAACGAAACGGTTAAAAATTAACGTTTTATTGATGGATTAAATAAGTTACGATGGACAAAAAATAACGGCTCAAAGTCAGTTGGAAAGAGGCAATCAACAAAAACTAATCATCATCATCATAGTTATCAGAGAACATCTTATTTCTTTCACGAGCAACATTCCGTTTTCTTTTCTTTTCAATATATTTGGATAATTTCTGTGATTGTTTTAACTCTTTGAATTTCTCCACTAATTGTGCTTGTTTGATTTCCGCTGAAATTAATGATAGAAAGAAAGAATTAATTTTTCATGTATTATCATGGAGTATTTGAAAGAAATGATATCGGATAGCAATAACTTACATTTTTTCAAAAATACAGGTCCTTTAGATGCCAGTTTCAACTGCTTTCGCTTCTCTTCCTTTAATTTTTTCACTAACTGAAGTTTATTTTTACTGTGTTCTTCGGCGTGTTCTTTTTCACTGATTCTTTTCAACAAATACTTTATTTGAGTGATTCTTTCAGGATCTTTTTCACGTTTGAGTTCGCTCAATAGTTCATTTTTATCCTTGTCTTTTGCTTCCTTGATGATATTGCCGTATTTCTGTTCAAAAATAGTTGGATTGAACGTTCCACTAGTTTCTTCAAACCTAGGATCTCTCACAACTTTTCTCTAAAAAGTAGAAAATCTAAATCAGTAAAGGTAACATTATTTTATATGAACTTACCTTGTCAGTAAAAATCTTGAGAATCGGAGGTCTCTTTTTGGACGAAAATTCCAGTGGTTTATCACTATCATCATCATGTTTTTTTCGTCCATGAAATTTTTTCCTTTTGAAATTCATTACTACTCAAAACAATAGAGAACAGTTGATACAAATTTTACTCAAATTATTATTACTTTTTGATCCAAAATATTGTTTACAAAAATCACATGTTTGCAGGCAGCGCCACCTGTTATTTAAAAATAAAGTTCTATTTGAAAGATTAGGAACAATTTGTAATTAAAAGATTCTGAATATTAAATTAATCTTGAAATGAAAACGTGAAAAAGTGTTCAGAATACTTCGGTGAAAACGTGGTAATTTTTTCATATTTATTCAAATAGACCATATAAGGGAAAATAAAGAACCAAAGTAAAGACTGAAATTATTATAAGCTAAAATTGTTTAAAGCTATATAAAGCTGTTAAAGTGTTTATAAGTTTGGATTCGCATAATGTTGACATGGGAAATGAGAGTTGATCAAATATCTCTTGTTGAATTGAGCTTAGCTGTATCTGAGAGCATTCTTGCTCCCACTATCCCTGACTCTTTAATCTCACCCAATCACCTTTCCTATCTCTACTTCTCTCTGGGCTTTGCTCCCGTTTCCCGGTTGAGCGCAGGCAAAACTTAAGGGGGTTTCTTCTTCTCTCCCTCTGCTACCCACCCTCTTTCTTCTAATAGAAGTGGGGATTAGGATAGAATCGAATGTGAACGTGAATGTATGTTCAAATATGATTAAGCAAATGACCCCGGCGGATCCAGACTGATTTTTTTTCAATCACTCATCATGATATCAATATGTATTCCTGTTGATTGAGACACTTGTTAGCGAGTTGAACAAAAAGTGTTTCCAATAGATCAGACTTGTTGGTAACTTGAAGTTAATCAGATAATAAACATGGTGTATTTAATGTTAGTTTAAAGATATTGTTCATTCCAACTTGAAAATTATTGTGTTGGTTTATATTCAGGCCATTCAAAATACTTTCATATCTACAGATTTTGTGAATTTAGAAAAAGCTATTCTTTTTAAAACGTTGGGCCTTTTTTCAATACTCCTATTAATGGCATAAAATTGCCTTTACAATCTTGTTGTATGTTATTAGTCTGGGCAAAGCGAAGATTTGTTTTTCTAAAAAAGTTGACAACCGATTGCGTGAAATGTCGCACGAAAAGAAAAAATATGTGTACGCAATGCGAAAAGATGTTTTGAATAGATTATGAAAGGTAAAAGGCGCTGAACTACTTAAGAGTTAAGTCCTGAATGAAAAAATTCAATAAGAATAAATGAGCTTTTTAATTTAAACATGAAAATCAATCAAAGTGAATAACCATGAAAATACAGAGAGCACCAGTTTAGTAAATAAAAGACTAAAAACTGACTTTTACATATAAATTGGTTTATTTGTTTCGAAATTGTTAACACATAAATGACAGGATCGATGGAAAAAATTTACAAAACTAATTCACTTTAATTTTTGTTACCACAAACTTTTACTGGAAAACAAGATTGATTAATCATCTGCATCTTCGTCATCGTCTTCATTATCGTCGTCTTCAGCCTCTTCGTCATCTTCGTCATTTTCGGCGTCGTCATCGTTTTCATCGTCTTCACTGTCTTCAACATTTTCATCATCTTCGTCGTCTTCGTCGTCTTCATCACTTTCATTGTCATCCTTACTGCTTTTATCTTTTTTATTTTTTTTATTCTTTTTGGTGTTCTTATCCTGAGTCTTTACTGGAATAGAATTGGAAAATTTCTTGAGCTTGGCTACAAAAAAACCATCTGTATTATGTGCGTGAGGATAAAATCGTCTAGTTAAATTTAAAGATGGATGAAACCTCCTTTCTCTGAATCTGCAAAATGAAAATAAATCGATAAGTAAAATATGCAAATAAAGCCATGTTTAATGTTTATAATGCTGTATTTACCTAGAAAATCCTTCACGTCCAAAATTAATTCCAGTAGGTGCTAATTTAACATTTCGTTTCTTCAAAGCATAATTGACTACCCATTCATTTTCTTCAACCTGAAAAACGGAAAGGAGAAAATTCGAGAGGTGAGTAAACAACAACAAATATCAGAGAGCAATTATCAACTTACAAGAACAGAACAAGTTGAATAAACTAAATATCCTCCGGTTGGCGAATCAGCATCAAGACAGTCTATTGCAGCTAAAATCAGTTGTTTTTGTAGCATACTACACCGTCCAATATCTTTTTCGTCCTAATTGGTTGAAAAGAAATGAATAACTCAATTGAAAACGAATAAAGAAGATTATCAATAATAAATATTTACCTTCATAGTCTTTACAGCGTTATCCTTCGATATTACACCGGTACCACTACATGGTGCATCTAATAAAACTCTATCGAAACCTTTCATAACATTTGGAAATTTTCTTCCATCAACAGAACTTAATACACAGTTATTTATGCCTAAACGATGGATGTTTCCTTTTGTTGCCTTGGCACGATCTTTGTTGACATCGTTGGCAAAAAGAATACCAGTGTTTTTCATGATTGCGGCAATATGAGTTGTTTTACCACCAGGAGCTGAACACATATCTAAAATTTTTTCATTTTCTCGAGGAGCTAAGGCCATGACGGGTAATAATGATGCAGCTCCTTGCAGCATATAATGTCCAGCTAGATATTCAGGTGTAGCTCCGATGGGTACTTGAGAATCGTATATGACCAAACCTACTCTGGACCACTCACCGATAGGATCTAAGTTAACCCCTCTGTTGATTAATGCTTGAGCTAAATCTTTCCTACGTGTTTTCAAGGTATTGGTCCTAATGGTCACAGGTCTTTGTGATTCAGAAGATTCAACAAACTGGATAAGTTCAGTTGGCTTAAAGAGTTCCATGAATTTTCCCATTAAAAAGTCGTTATAGTCGTAAAGAGCACATAGATCGTGTTTAAGAACCGCTAAGTAATCTTTTCTAGTTTTTCCTTCTTGTCTTCGCTCTTTAAAATTGGCTAAGATAAAGTTGATTTCACCAATTCTTTCCTTTAAAGACGTTGGTTGAAAACCAGTTGCTTGATCAATCTGATCTAATTCTTCTGTAGTTGGTAGCTGAAATAATTCATCTGGATCAGCTCTTCTCAGTTCCATATCTTCGTACTTTTTCCTTATTTTTTCTTCCTTTCTTTTCTTCCTTTCTTCATCATCATCGTCACTGTCATCGTCATCGTCAGCTCCATCATCACCGTGAACCTCATCTTGAACATCATCGCCGTCGTCATTACCATCAACCTCATCGTCAACTCCATCATCGATACCATTGCCATTTTCATGACTATCAACATTATCATTATCAATGGTATCATCAGCTTTATCTTCAATATCCTCATCGGCACCATCATCATCTGTTTCCTTGGCAGGTTTGTTTACTTTTTTGCGTTTTTTCGCAGATTTAACTTTAGCAATCTTTTCATGCTTAATGTCCGACATTATTTTCTTGTCTTTACTTTTTGGCTTCGTGATATTTTCGTTCTCAGTTTCAGAAACCATTTGATCGGACTCTTCAGTCACCTCTTTACTTGAATCTGTTTTGAGTTTTTTCTGAAAAAAATAAAATTTTACATAAGTAAATACAACTAAAGATTTATCTGATAAACTTACCGCACTTCGACCATGCGAAACCTTATTAGGTGATGTTCTTTTGTTGGAAGGTGATTCTAAAGACTCCACATTATCATTATCTTCGGATTTTTCTTCATCGACGTTCTCCTTTTTGAGCTTTTTAATTGCTTCTTTCAATTTCTCTGCAGACCCTTCATTACGTAATTTTTTTGCTAATTGCTTTGCTTTAATCTTAGCTTTAATTTTGTCCAAATCGTCCTGAAGTCTATACATAAAACGAAAGAACATTATTTAAACAAAATTCATAATTTAATGTAATTTCGTACTAACCTTTTACCAACAGGCTTAGGGTTTGATGGGATTTCAAAAGGAAACTCAGGAGCTCCTTGTCTTTTAGCTTCCCTGGGTTTCTTCTTTATCTTCCGTTTTTCGTCATATTTAGCTTTGCGCCCCATGATTTAAATAAAATAAACAAAAAAAATTGTGAAGCACAACTAAATAATTAAATTGGAATAGTTCACGAAAGTTTTAATTCCAGTGTACGTTTAAATTGCAATGAAAACATGTGAGTTTAGCTCACATGGCTTCAAGCTAGCGACATCTGCTGCACATAAATGAAATCTTGAATGAAAACATTAAATGGTTACTTCAGTGTATTGCCTTTGGTGTCAATTACATTTAGTCATTTTAAACTTATTATTTTGTGAATCGAACCTACCTCAATTAAATTGTATTTTAGTGTGCTTTAAATAAACAAAATGTCTCACGGAATTGCTGGAATCGAAAGGAAAATCAAACAACAACAAGCTGAAACTGACAAAAATATTAATGAAGCGTTCCAAGATTTAAGCAGATTAATGGAGAAAGCTAGTGACATGGCTCGTCTCGCCCAAGGAATGGTCCAAAGATTAAAAGAGAAAGGAAATAAAGAAATATCTCAGGATGAAACTGTTCTATTTAAATCGTATCTACTCAATTTAGGTATCAATGAAGGGTTGGAAGATTTGGTGACGAGAGAAAAGTATGCCAACGATAGTCATTATTATCGAGATCTGGGTAAACAAGTTGCCCTTGTGATAAAACCGATGATTGAAAAAAGTGATGGTATTATGGCCTTAACCGATGTCTTTTGTGCAGTAAATCGATCAAGAGGATTGGATCTAATTTCATCCGAGGATCTGCTCAATGCCTGTTATACTCTGAAAAACCAGAAACTGGGTTATAGTCTATTCAAATATGATAGTGGTCTAATGGTGATTCAAGCTGACAATTTCAATCAAGAAAATCTAAACAAAGAGACTTTGAAAGTTATTGAAGAAACTTGTAGTGATACTGTTTCCCCTGGACTCACTGCCCACCAGTTAGCACTTCGTCTTGGAATCAGTTTATCACTAGCGCGACAGCGATTGTTGAATTGTGAAAATCAAGGATTTGCTTGTAGAGATGAATCAATCCAAGGATTAGCATTCTTTCCAAATAAATTTTTATGCCAATAAAGTTGTTGATTAATTTTACAAATCTCAACAAGTTAATCTAACTGCCAAACTACCTTAATCAAAACTCCTAAAATCACCAGCGATTACCAGTTTCCTTAGCAACATGTAATGGGTTAAAGCTCTGGTTGAAAGCGCTTCTTTTAAACATCACCAGATTTTTACAACTTAACCAGACTCGAAATAATTGTCTCTTCAACAATTAGATTAACCAAACCTGTAATTAATGGTGAATTTTCAGAAATAGTCTTCGAATCCAGAACAATTTTCACATTCAAAGTTATTCTCTTTTCTGGAAACATGAGCTTACAAAATAAAAACTAAATCAAAAGACATGACAAAAATTCGGTTAATTTAGTTTATTATTTATTATGTACATTAAAATTGAATAGCCATCATAATTTTATCGAGTGACATTAGTTTATTGTTTACAATTGTTTCCTCATTGTTTTATTGTTGTGCTCCTAAAATGATGGTTTAGTCATCAATATTCAGCAATTAAAGTTAAATTTTAGATGTTTTTCAATGAATCAAATCAATATTAAAGATGTTTAGTGCAATGGAAAAGAAGAAGAAATGGTAAAAGTTAACAATTAACTAAAGAGTGGCAATTAAATTTGAAATGATTATTTATCTGCCATCAATCCATATAATTACTTTGAAATTTTCAGTTTAATTTTTACAGTCAAAATGATCTAAATGCAAAAATCAAGAGATGAAAGTAAAATTAACAAAATATGTTTTAACCAAATCAAGAATCATATTTTCCACTTTATGTTAAATTGATCACCAATTTTGTCCCCAGTTTTTTATTGAAACAGCAACAATCAGTAAAACATTAATTTACAATCAATATGAACCAGCAATAACAAAGTGAATGTTGATGATCAAGAGTAAAATTGAAACATTGGAAGCAGATTGAATATTAAAGATGAAAGATTGAATAAAATGAAGGCGTTTGTTGGTTCCAGTTGATAATCAATGTTAATAAATGTGAATAATCAAACAGCTAACAGTTAATAGTCTCTAATAATAGTTAAAGATGATCTTTAAGATTAAATTGAATGTTAATCAGTCGATACAATCAGGAAACAGAGAAGGTAAAAAAGAGGGTCAACAATCAATTGAAATGAATCGCAAGAATTGGAAAAAATTGAAATGAAAAGAAATCTGAAAAATGAAAGTAAGCCTCATGGAAGCTACTTGACTGTTTTGACACTTAATTTCAATGCTGAGATTGTTCAATCAATAAACCATCTTGCGACTGTGAAACTTGAGATGAATAATTACGGTAAAGACAGTTAGAATTCATAATTTCACATTTTCATCAGTTTCTTTTGTTGTTTCATCTCAAATTACACTTTGAAAGATGTTCCAGTTGATTCATGATGATGATGATGTTGGTCAAGATGAAATCAATGAGAAAGGAATCAAGGACAACAACAATGAATAGATTTCATCTTCTTCTAGATTATCAACATTTATAATAAATTGATGGTTTTTCCTGGTCATTCAACATTTTTTGGCCATTATTTGTTTCCATCCATTGAAATTTAGATTAATTAGATTTTGATGATTGAGTAGAAGTAAAAGAAAAGGTTAGAAATGAAGAGAATAGGAAAAAGTTCAATTTTCCAATTTTCTTTTTCAATTTTTGTGTTCCATTTCTTTCTCCTTTTCAAACATTAAATCATATTTTTCCATCATTTCTCATGTTATATAACAATTTCATTTTCTGTTGCATTTATTTTTTCCATTTGTGTTTGGTTGCACTTTTCAATTTATCCATTAATTGGTCTTGATTTGATTGTTTCTTTAAATTGGTTTGCTAATTGCTTTTGTACACTATTTTGGTTAGTGATTGGTGAAAGCTTGTTGTGTCTTTGATCGATTTTGGTCTTTAAATAATTCGTCCATGGTTTTTGGGCTTTTCATGTTTGAAATGGTTTAAAATGTCCATAAGAAAAAGGTTAAGGTCTACAAAAAACAAATTCATTGTAATGATTCCATCGATTCTCTTCGGCATCAACACCTGGTTTCAAGGGTTCACCACCTGAGGTACCAGAGCCACATGAGGCAACACATCGGAATCCATTTTCCATGAGAGCATCGAAACATTGTTCAAGAATTTGGTGTTTCAAGTAAAACCTTGAAGTGTACCTATCCTGGAATGCAGTGTGATCCGGATCACGGGATTCATTCAATGAATCACCAAACACTTCACGACAAAGGATAACCTTACCAGCAACCAGGATTCGGGTTAACTTGCGAAATTTAACATCAGCCAAACCATCTTTACCAAAGCCAAAGGATCCACGGTAACCAATTGTAATGTAACCCGAAATCTGTTGACCTGGGTTGGTCGAGATGGGTGAATGTGTGGGATGAGTCAATGACGAGTTGACGGTCGATGAAGTAGCACAAGTTGATGTTGATGTTGTTGTGGTCAGGGTTGATGGGTTGCTTGATGTTGATGATACACTTGATGAGGTTGTGGATGAAAGGGAAAGTGGCTTAAGGTTTCCTGGTGGAGCACAATCTATTGATTTGGAAAGGCGATTCAAGTGAAAATATTCGGCTTCACATTTAAGTCGATCTCGTTCGTTGAAGTTTTCAGGTAAAACCAGTTTACACTCATTTCGAAGGTATTCAAGAATATAACGAAACAAATGACCATCGCGATCAATGAAAAATCGCCCCTGAAGAAGAAAAAGAAAAAATAATTAGAAAATGCATCAAAATTCATTCATTCATCTCAACCTTTACAGTTGATAATAAAGATCGCTATTTTTAATCGGCTTCAAACTTCTCATTGCTAATTAGCTGATTCAAGTTTTAATTGTTGCAACAATCTCAAGATATTGAAGAAACTCAAGAATTCCGATTCATTTGTGATAGCTTTTGAATGCAAACAGATTGATTTGGGAATCGATATTCTCGTTGCTAGAAATCGGGAAATATGAAGTGACCTTATGATACCAATGAGCCAAAACAAATTGACTTGAAAGTTCGGTTTGACCTTTCGAACATTAGCTTGTAGAAATATTGCATATTAATGAGGTTAACGT